TTTCCCCCCAATATGCAAAGCATGCAATGCATAATTTCAGTGACAGATGCTACATGCAAAGTGCATTCACTCCCACACTTACATTTTTTGGTTGAGTCTGACAGCTACACTGAGCAGGTGCAGATGGGGATGTTTGCATTCAGTATTTCTTTTGCTATGTAAGAAGGTTGACCTTGGAGACAAAATATAGTTCAAAAATGAGGGATGGATACCAATCATAACATTTACATAACAGCCAGCCATGGCCTCAGTCTACTTACTTAATACCATCCCTGATCTCGGGTTAGGATGTTTCAACACAACTTTCTCCAAACTGGTACCCTCTTTATTTATTTATTTTTTGGACTATATCATAATGGCCACTAGCCCAATCAGCATGGCCAGGGCTTTAAACCACCTTTCTGAAAAGATAGTAGCTTAGCTTAGTGGCATATATAAGCATTTTGTGACATCATTCCATATTTACTAGGCAGTCAGGAATATAAATTCTCAGGGAAGCTGCTGTAGAAAGCAAAAGTCAAATTATCCTTTTCATCACAAATAAGTACACACTTTTTACATGCTTCACAGTTATTTCCATGGAAAAGGTGCTTTAGCTTAGTGAGTTTTAAATACTTGTTTAAATTTATTCCTACAATTTTAAAACTTTATCCTTGGAAAGGGAGTTTGAGCCAAAACCACGTGGAACATTTTATAAATGAGCCAAAAAGACATGAGTAGAATACTACCTTGGTTATTTGCAATATTCTACTTTAACTACATGAACTTCTGCTGTTTCCATCCACTGACAACTCATTACTGGAACAGCTGAATTGACCCTTGTTTCACCTGTCCATTGATGATGAATTCCATTCCAGAATCTGTCTGCATGGTGATAAAACTACATGGAGTTGTCTTGTGTTTTCCCAGTGCATTGTAAAAGGAAGAGAGAGTTTTGCAAGAAACCTTTACTTTAGAGTAGCATTCCCCCAACCTGGCACACTCCTTATGTGTTGAATTACAGCTTTTGCTGTCCCCATTAAGTATGATGGGAGGTAAAATCTGTTGCATCTAGAGGATGCCAGGTCGGGAAAGGAGATGTAATAATAGCAATGTGGCAATTCAGTCCCATCGCTGTTGCAATCTCCTTGACTTTCCTTTCTTGCCCTTCCTTAAAGTAGCTAACACAATATACGTTGCACATTCTAAGCGTGTCTGTCTCCCCTACTTCCACATCACTCGTCAGTGATTGCTTTCAGGTGGTCTCTTGTGGCACCAGCAATTTTGGTAAATGGACAGCTTTCTCAGGTTAGAAATGGTTTTCATATCGCAGCTGATCTACTTTGAGTGCTGACATCTTGAAGTTTCACATGATGCTCATCTGTACCTTTTAGAAAGCCGTGCCGTGGTTAAACCCAATGCCAATTATTGCTAATGCTTTCACTTTGGCTTAGGGGCATGGCACCAGCCTCTCTTGATGGATGCTGCTTTTGATCACTTAGGCTTCTGAACAGAAAACTTGTATAAGCCTGAGATGGTGTTACTTCCTGCCTCCTGGAGCAGTGTAGGACTCCAAAAAAGGCTGTGCAGGAGGCACAGTTGAAAAAAAAAACATCGGGTGGGGGTGGAATATAAATTGGAAAAGCATGGTGCATTACTGAGCTGTGAAAGGAGAGGATTAGCTTGCAAATTGTTGAGCAGCGACACAGGGCAGGTCACTGAATCATGCTTGCTTCTGGAAACGCTGTCTGTGGGGTGGCGAACAACGGAAATAGTAGCTACAGCTAAAAATAGGCAAACAGAGAGTGTGTCACTGTGAGTTCGCGCACATCATCGCAGGCCGCCTACCTGTCAAACTATTATAAAAGCCATTTTTATATTGACCTAATGCCTAATCCTTTTACTGAAAATAAATTGAAACTGTAAAGCAGAAGCTGCGATAGAAAGAGCTGCATACGCTCCAGCCCTTTGCTTGGTGATAGAGAAGGAACTACCACAGGTTTCTGTGGCTGAAATCTAGTAATGTGTCACAACTAGAGTTGGACCATTGAATCAGTGGGGGCTTGGTGAGTCAGCTCCTATGTCACTTCCATTGATTCAATGAGCCTATTCTTCTTACTACTTAGTACTGGTTTTCAGCCAGTGTAACTTTCTTGCTGGGACGGGTGCCTAGAACGTCAACCACAGCAGATTCAAAGGACTGCTGAGTTGAATGTTAAAAACAAGGAAAGGTCTTACAATACCTTGAGGACCTAACCAGTTTACAGTGGTGCCTCGCTTAACGATTGCCTCGCTTAACAAGGAAATCTCTTGACAATTAGTTTTTTGCGATCGTAAAAGCAATTGCAAAACGATGGTTTAAATGGGGAAAATCTGTTTCACGATGATCGGTTTCCTGACTCGGGAACTGATTTTCGCATTACGACGATCTAAAAACAGCTGATCGTCGGGTTTCAAAATGGCCACCAGGTGTACAAAATGCCCCCCCCCGCTGTTTTCTAGGACGGATTCCTCGCTTTACAGGCAGCGAAAATGGCTGCCCTTATGGAGGATCTTCGCTGGATGCTGAGTTTTCAGCACATTAGAACGCATTGAAGGGTTTTTAAAGCATTTCAATGGGCTTTTTTATTTTGCTTAACGAGGATTTCGTTCTACAGCGATTTCGTTGGAACGGATTATCCTCATTAAGCAAGGCACCACTGTTTTATGAGCAAAGGATGGTGAATGTGTGCTCTCCAGATGTTATGGGCTGCAACTTCCACCATCTCTCAACATTAGCAGAGCTGCCTAAGGCTTATAGTAGTTGCAGTTCAACAATGTATTTTGAACTGCGGGCCAGCAGCTAAGAAGCAATGCTGTTTGCAGCTTGAACCCTGCTGATCATCCTCAAAGAAAGTATGAACAGAGCCATAAAAGACAAGATCCATTGAGAATTATCCTACCTTCTTAATTTAAACCCTGAAGAAACATTAATTTTTTTCTGTTTCACAGCTGGCAGGATCAGGTCTGCTGTTTTTTATCTTTCTGTAAATTAAATTAAGGAAGACCAAGAGGTTGAAAATTCTTAGACATTTTTTAAAAATAAGTTTAATTGTCAAATAGCAGTTGTAGTTTGACTTGGTTTGGTAATATGTGCACCTCTCTGTTTACAGTAATGTTTTGTGGTGGTGGTTGTGATAGCTTTTAGATTTGGTTAGAAGACTTGGGAGTTATTGGAATGATTTTTTAATCTTATTTTTAAATGTGTTTATGGAAATCCCAATTTGCACGTAGTTTTCTTTGAGAGCAGTTTGCCTTCTGACATTGCAGAATGGTCTACTGTTTTGTCAATGAATATATTTAGAGCTTCATTGCCCCCCCCACTAGTTTTAAATCTTGCAGCAACATGAACACTATTATTTTTGTTTAGTCGTTAAGTCGTGTCCAACGCTTTGTGATCCCATGGACCAGAGCACGCCAGGCCCTCCGATCTTCCCCCGCCTCCCGGAGTTGGGTCAAATTCATGTTGGTCGATTCGATGACACTGTCCAACCATCTCGTCCTCTCTCGTCCCCTTCTCCTCTTGCCCTCACACTTTCCCAATATCAGGGTCTTTTCCAGGGAGTCTTCTCATCAGATGGCCAAAGTATTGGAACCTCAGCTTCAGGATCTGTCCTTCCAATGAGCACTCAGGGTTGATTTCCTTCAAAATGGATAAGTTTGTTCTCCTTGCAGTCCAGGGGACTCTCAAGAGTACAGTATATTCATAATATAATACTTATTTTCTATCAGTAGCCCTACAGCCTCATTAAAGATGGATATTTATCTCCCCTTCCCACATTTCCATGAAATATTAATAAATGTCAAAAGAACACGTACTTCAAACTTCTTGATGTCTGTAATATCAGTGTTGTTGTTTTGCATGGCTTGAAAACTGCATTAAGTGCAGATTTAGTTCCACAGTTGAATGTTAGGCCTAGTCATGGGTACAATGCTGTTGGTGAGATTTAGATCAGGTTATTACATAAGGCTGTGTAATTTGTTTATTATTTAGTCACTTACATGTATGTATGTCTCACCTTTCCTCCAGTGACCTCAAAGCAGTAGGTATTTATGTCTTTCCTTCTCCCTACTTTACTTTCCACAGTAGACCTGTTTTTTTTTTAATGTTTAAGAAATTGTTACAGATTCAGAATGCAGCAGCAAGAATGTGGGTGGGTGTGTTCACTTATGCAATATATAATAAATATATGTCATGCATGCACTGAGTAATTACCGAATTGTTTCCAGGTGCACGTGAAAGTGGTGATGGTAACTTTTAAAGCCCGGCATTGCATTAAGATCAATATACCAACCTGCTTGACTCCTAGAGATAAACAGGAAAAAAATTCTTTATAGAAAGTATATGATGGGGGTAAGAGAAAAGCGCTTCTAAGTGGCTGCACCTAAAATTCATTGCCCCAGGAAGCTTAGCTGACACTTTTTTCCTCAGAGATTCTTTCACTGTATGGCAAAAATCTAGTTTAAGCAGGCATTTATCTTATGTCTGTTTGTATTAAACTGTTTCCCTTTGTGTGTGTGTATTTTTATTGTATGTTAGTCTGGTTTTCATTACTTCTGGTCTCTGCAAGGGATATAGGAACATCAGAATGGTACAATATGCATTTTTTGTATAAAGAAATAATTTGGTCGGTCCTGAAGCTGCATCAGAAGCAATGTATGAATGCCTTGCATATTCACATGTGCCATGTTCACAACTGTTCCTTGCAACCATTACAACATGCCATGGCAGCTAGCCATAACTCCCATTTAAAAAAAAATTCAGTATAGTTTAGGTGAGACTGTTTTTGGTCTGGGTTGGAGATTTTTTCTTTTCTTTTAAAAGAACGGTTGCAGTTCTTGGAAATTTATGATGAAGGTTTATAAGGACGTACAAAGGTATGTTTAGAGAGACGATATTTATAAAAAGGGATTATGTAGAAAAAGACTAGTACTGAAACGTGCTTGGAGAAACAATTAAGAGACATATATTTATTTTGCAGAAAATCATTCCGCACCTCCAGATGTTACCACTTACACCTCAGAACACTCAATACAAGTTGAAAGACCACAAGGTTCGACATCAAGGGTGGCACCAAAATATGGAAACGCTGAACTTATGGAAACTGGTGATGGTATGTCTTGTAAAATGCTGAAGGAATGTTTGGCCAGATGAGCCATGGAGCAGGAATACTCCGGCATGAATGAGAAATTGCACAAGCTAACACTTAACACTGGGAAGGTGCAGAGGCAAGGGAAGACGTCCAATATAGGTGTTTCATTCATTTCTAAGCATTAAAAAAGAAGAAAAATTCGTCAGAGTAGACACCCAACACATCTAGTTTGTGAAAATATCTGCTTCTTGTTGTGAGCAGAGCTTGGAAAGTTTTGATTTTGAAAAGTGAGTAGTTAACTGCTATTGTTGCAAGGATCCCAGTGGTAGTTGGTCACTGTTAGACACACAGCTGCTTAAGAATTTGCAGAGGGAACCACAAGAGCTTATGCCAAATAACCCTTTCCTGCCAGGTTGGTGTACTTTTGTCATCTGCTTACACTAGGTGTGCATGGCTGAGGCTTTGGAACTTTGTATGATTTCTTTTCCGCAGGAGTTCCAGTAAGTAGCAGAGTGTCGGCAAAAATTCAGCAGCTAGTCAACACCCTAAAACGACCCAAACGACCTCCATTGCGAGAGTTTTTTGTAGATGATTTCGAAGAATTGTTAGAAGGTAAAATAGTTTGATCCTCCTGCAAACGTTTTTATATTGGCATTGTAGAATAACTATTCATTCTTTGCACAGCAAATAATTCCATGACACACTGGTTTTATTTTGTGAAATACCTTGACGCTATTGCTGTGCTTTATTCTTTTGAAAAAAAAAGGGTAGTAAGGTAACAGGGTGGAATATGGGGTGTCTGAGAGATGAGCATGATTTGAAACTAGCTGTGCCACATTTGGATGAAGAGGATGAAGCATGGTAGTCCATGGCACATACCTGGCACTCCAACTACGCTTCTCCCATTACAGTGACACCTTGCAAGAAAAATGCCTCGTGCAACAAAAAACTTGCAAAACGAAAGCATTTTGCAATTTTTTTGTGAATCGCAAGACAAATTTTTCTGTGGCCGTGCTTTGCAAGACGATTTTTTTTCCAATGCATTCCTATGGGAAACGCATTGAAATGCATTCCTATGGGGAAAGTCGCAAGATGAAATTTTCGCAATACAAAATAAAAGTCGCAAGATGAAAATTTTGCAATACAAAATGACTCGCAGAACAAATTATTTCCATCTTGCGAGGCATCACTGTATATCTAAACTGGGTCTGGGTCTCAACAGTGTTTTTTAAGAAACTGTTCTGAAACCAAACTCAGGGGCTCTCTTGTTCTCAGATGGCCTTTCCAAAGTTCTGTGTACTCATGACAAAGCATGATATAAATGCATTAAGTAACACTCTCTTACAATTGTAAGTTCAACAGCCAGACCCAAACCAACCAAAGCCAGAGGGAGCTCAGATGTTGGCAATGCGTGGAGAACAGCTGGGCGTGGTTACGAATTGGCCTCCATCTCTTGAAGCAGCGTTGCAACGATGGGGAACCATCTCTCCAAAAGCTCCTTGCCTAACCACTATGGACACCAATGGAAAACCACTATATATTCTCACTTACGGTCAGCAGCCTCTTAAACTTCCTTGTCACTTATTTTATGAACTAAAATGGAGGTCGAAACATATAATTGATTATTGTCAAATATACTTCTTCTAGTGTTCTTTTAACTGTCCATGTTACTTTTTCCTGGAATAAATTTGTAGGTAGACAGGCTTATCTCTTTTGTGATTTAGCCAAAATGGAGGGGCACAGTTTATACAAAAGGATGTAGTTCCATGGCTGGGTGAATATTTAGAATGCATGACGTTCCACTTTCGACCCAACAATCTCCTCTTACAGGTTCACTGTTAACTGATAAAAAAAGATTTCTCTTTCAGAGAGTCTGGAGAGCTGGTGTCAATTAAAGTTGATAGCACTGAGTCAGAACATTTGTTTGATTCTGTACAAGTCAGTTTTTTACTGTGCTGCCTTTTGACTAGTTTTATTTGTGTTCCTTCTTACCATACAGAACATTTGTTTGATTCTGTGCTGCCTTTTGACTAGTTTTATTTGTGTTCCTTCTTACCATGCCCACCTCACTGGAAGATTATTCTGCAAGCATTCCCTATGCCAGAATATGCATGTAAATATATTTGGGACATAGCAATACACGCCACTAGTACACTGTGAAATGATAGATTTTGGAAAAAATCAGATTTTACAGGATTGCCATAGTAATGAGGTCCATCGGTTCATAAAGAACAAATCTCTGCACTGCTTATTCATCAGATACCCCCCTTTTTTGGTACAAGTACTCCATTGTAGAAATAATTTGTGCAATTAATAAGGATGCTGCCCCTAAACTAATTCCTTCTGCTTTTACTTAAATATATTTGAGGCAACTGACTCTCTCAAACTTAAAACCATTTCCCACGTGCCCTCAAGTGCTGGTTGGCAGACATGGCCGGTATTTGCACGGATTATGGAAGTTTTCATCCAAGAAACTCACTTTTCCAAATGCTGCATCTAATCTTTGCAGCTTGGCCATTAGCAATTTTAAAAAAACTAGGAAAAATTGGACCAGAACTTGGAAGAGTGGTACGACACAATCTTTTCATTATTTATAAGTTACTGTATTGTGTGATTCTGAAAAAAAAAATTTACAATTGTTTGCAGCTTTCTTTTGGCAAACTCTGAGGTGCCATGCATAGGTTTGGTAAGACTGTTCTAGCTTGCTGTGGCTGAGTTGGTGCTGTGTGGTGATGACATTCCTACTGTACATACTATGGAAACTGTTTCTGCCATTTGCTTTTCTCTTGGCATAGCTCTTTGCTGCCAACTTTACTTGAACAGTCTTTACACTCGACACATTCACGGTAAGGCACTGGTTGAGAACCTGTCCAGAAGGGTATTGCAGAAGTAGTCCTATGTCTTGGTTAAGCCCTGATTTCTAATAATTCTAACACACAAGCCGTTCCTAAGTGCAGTTAATGTGGGATCAGTCCAGCTTACAGTGGTGCCTCGCTTAGCGATGTCAATTCGTTCCGCAAAAATCATTGCAGAACGAAAATGTCGCTATGCGATATTAAAAAGCCCATAGAAACACATTGAAACCCCTTCAATACATTCCTATGGGTTTAAAACTCACCATTGAGCAAAGATCCTCCATAGCGCCACCATTTTCGCTGCCTCTAAAGCAAGGAAACCATCCCAAAAAACAGGGGGCGGCCATGTTTTTTTCCTGGCGTCCATTTTGAAATCGCCGATCAGCTGTGTGAAAATGGGGGCTTTGCGATGATCGCTTTCCTGCAATCATTGCAAAGTGAAAATACCCTATAGGGAACATTGCAAAGCGATTGCTTTTGCCATCGCAAAAAGTCCATCGCAAAGCGATTTCGTCACTAAACGAAGCGATCGCTATGCGAGGCACCACTGTACCTTAAATGGAACTTGCCTTCATGCGACCTTACTTAAGTCAGCAAGCTTTAAAATTACGTGCTCCCCTTTATCCAAAATTGGTTTTCCTCTTTTCTTTCTTTTGATGAAATGAAAATTACAAAGAAAAGGCCTAGATTTTTAGAACATATTTAATTAACCTCTTTATGTGTGCTGGTAAGCTACATTTCCTTGGCTCAAGTGTGTAGGTCATCCTGAAAGTAATGTTCGAATGTAAAGTCCAGTTTAAATCATATGCCTCCCTGCCTGGGAGCATGTCCCATTGAATTCAATAGGAGTAGATATGTGTGGAATATATCAGTGAATGTGTAAAAGGAATGTACATATCTGGAAAAAGAGCACAGCTGGCATACAAACAAGAAATCTTGATTTTGAGTGTATACCAAATACTCCAGAAAATGCATCCAGAAAAGGAGCATGTTGGGTAGATTAGGATACTCTAGCCACATCCACAACATGTTGATGAGCACTATGTGGTTATATTTGCCATTTTTGTGAGCATCATATGGTTAAGTTTGCAGTCCCCATTCTAAAACATTGACTCCAGTCCTTTGTATATCCATAAAATGTGTTTGGTGTAAAGAGGTTTGTCTGTCTTCGGATGGTTTCCTCTCAGATTTATTTCTGTCTCCTTATATTCTGGCTTATCACTACTTATATCTTAATGTAGTCACGACGATGAAGTCTCAAAATATTTTGCCTTTTCCGTTCCTCTAAACTCTTATTGAAAAGGCTTAATTGATTTATTTTTATATGTGCTTTCGTTAACTATAGTCAAAAGTATTGTCTTAAAAGCAACAATCTGGGAAAACAATCACAGCTTGCTGGGGGAAAGGATTTGCTTTATTTGCTCTCATGTCTAGATGATTCCCCCCTCCCCACAATACATTTAATGATTTTTTTCAGTCCATTTAATGATAATTGATCTGGACTTGGAAGTGGCTAACGGGCCTGTTACAGTCATGCTTGGATTTAAGCTGTGTTGCTGTGTCTCACACTTGTCTGGAAACAGTCACCTGAGAATGTTTTCTATGGCAAGTCATGCTCTTGCACAACTTTTAGTAAAGCTTGACTAGGAAGAATGCTCTTCAGAGGAAGCTGTGATAACTGTCAGTAGAAGGGTAGCAGGAAACAAAGCAATATTGACGAGACCTCAGCTCCTTCTGGATCAAATGCCAAGATATATAGGAAAGCACTCTTCAGCATTTATGCTTGGTTTTAAATAATGATAGGAGTGGACTGAAAGGTTTTGCACAGAAGTAGCAGTACAAGCTTCATTTTAGGGAATTTTGAAGAAATGATTTTTACGTGTAATGGCTGTGTTATTTACCAGTTTTGTCAGATACCGTGTGCACACATAGAAGATCATATGAGCACTGAATGTTTACAGCTACACTACTATCAGTGTTAGGGGTGCTGCTGAGGGATCACAGTGTAGCTGCAAATGATACAGATGACAGCTTTAGATATAGCAGACGGTTTAAAAAAAAATATGTATAAGAAGATAGTTAATATCTGGAAAATAAAACGCTATGGTAGGCAGCTCGGTTGATATTCTTGCTGGTTTCCTACTCATTGGCTTACATTTTGCCCAGTGCTAGAATAGTGCTATTTTTCAACACTTTGAAAGAAAAACATTTGGGGATTGAAAAAAGCAGCAAGGATTTGAACAGTCTGAAATAAAAACACATGATGAGGGGGGAAAAGGAAACAAAGATTGGGATGTTCAAAATCATGGCATACAACAGTAAGTTCAACTTAAACAAAACAATCTAAGATTTCCCCATATTTATCTTCTACCATATTTACTTTAGGAAGTAACTGAGTCTGATTATAGACTGTTTTTTTTTTAAGTTTAAGATTGAGGGAGGGTTATTTAAAACATTGTGTTGCATACGGCACGATGTGACCTATGTGTTTCAGTTTACAGTTATGAACACACTTTTCTGGAAGTTAGTTTCTGGAAACCAACAGGACTTACTTGAAATTACATCAGCATAGAATAGAGAATCTTGTCTTTGCAGTAATGCCAAAATTATACCAAGCCTTGAAAAGGTATGCCCGCCCCCTTAAGTGTGCTAGTAGCTTAGGTGGTTGCGGTAGGTCGCTTAGCAGATGGGTTCTACACTCAGCTGTCATTCACTTTACTCCTATTTTCCAGGAGTATGGATTGAATCAGTCCAAGCAGTGTTGATTACAAAATAATTTAGTGTTCACCAGGACTCCAAGTGTAACGGCAAGCAACGGTTCTGCTGTATACTAAGCATCATAGTTAAACAGCTGTGTCATGGAAGATGCCCAAATTTGCATAAGAAGATATATGGTGTTTACAATATATTGGGCTTTTTTTTTATTTCTTCCTTAGAACGCAACCAAGTCTTTTGTTGGTGCTGTGTGTGTATTTGCATTGCGTTTTGAATCATTTTATATTCAAACTGTATGCTTCATTTTAACAGTCATATCTGGCCAATTGTTTTGTCATTAGGCAAACTCTGGACCCGTAGTATGAAGGTTGCATACAATATACTGCATAAATTGGGCACAAAGCAAGAACCGATGGTACGGCCAGGAGACAGGGTAAGTACCTGTGCTGTCTTTGTGTACTTCTGTAACACCTCGCTTTGACATATAAAACACATGGAAGTGGAATATTGAGTGACTCTCTGAATCTCTTCTCTCCAGAAATATTAGCTATATTTCCACCTTGTACTCATGTGTTGGAGAGTGTCATGGAAGCGACCAACATGATTTTGACCGAACTCCGGGAGGCAGTGGAAGACAGGAGGGCCTGGCGTGCTCTGGTCCATGGGGGTCACGAAGAGATGGACACGACTTAACGACTAAGCAACAACAACAACAACATCTTATGTGTTGCTATATGTCTTAAAAGATCACATCCTAACAGCTCACTGATTTTTTTTTTTTAAAATATTGGCTGACAGGGCTATAGAAAATTCTTATGTGTTGCTATATGTCTTAAAAGATCACATCCTAACAGCTTGCTGATGTTTTTTAAAAAAATATTGGCTGACAGGGCTATAGAAAATCTATTACAGTACAAGAAAGTATTTTCTATTTACAGTTTTCCCCCATCTTAAAAAAAAGGAGCGTATGTTACAAAGATTTCCTTTTATGAAGGGCATTAGAGCATGTTGTCATGTGGATGAAATAAGTTTTGGTAATGAGTCTATATTGTCCCCTCTATGTTGTAAGAAAACCCAGAAACAATTAGGGCCTTGTGAAGAGAGTAGTTTAAAAAAAAAAAGCACATTACTAGGTAGAATCATCAGCACAACTCTCTCTTTTTTAAAAAACGTGCAATTTGAGAATAAGGAAAATTGTCATAAGAGCAAAAGTTGATGGGGGGGTTATTCAAAAATGTTCTTAAATGATCTGTGTGTCTACTCTCTCCCTGTTCTTTGCTGTGGTCTCTCTTCAGTCCCACAGTCACTGAGGGAGACCGCCACAACGGATTTCGGAACTTGCTTCAAGCGCTGAAACCTCTGTGCTCTTCTCTTAAGAGAAAACAAAGATTCTCAGTCTGAAGTGAAGAGGTGTATACTTTCCATCTCAAATTTCTCTTCATAGTTTTCACCAGGAGCTTCGCCTTATTTGATTTCCTTCAGAAAAATGTATCCTTACTCCATGGAAATTTGTTTCCTTGCAGGTTTTTTCTAAGGCGTTAAGCAGGTAATACCCAGGAGAATGAACAAGAGAAACCCCAAACATAGCAGACCATTAGATTTAAAGACCTTTCCTCTATAATATCATTATGTCCAGAGTCTATTTCAGTACTGCTTCCTTCAGTGAATTCTTCCTTCCTTCATTTGACTTCTATACCATCCATCTGGCTATATGGCCACTCTGGGTGGTTTACAACACAATATGCTGTCGATGTGATAGTGCTAAAATATGTATAACTTACAGCAGGTTGTTGTTTAGTCGTTAAGTTGTTTCCGACTCTTTGTGACCCCATGGACCAGAGCACACCAGGCCCTCCTGTCTTCCCCCTGCCTCCTGGAGTTGGGTCAAAGTCATGTTGGTAGCTTCGATGACACTGTCCAACCATCTCATCCTCTGTCGTCCCCTTCTCTTCTTGCCTTCGCACTTTCCCAACATCAGGGCCTTTTCCAGGGAGTCTTCTCTTCTCATAGATGGCCAAAGTATTGGAGCCTCAGTTTCAGGATCTGCACTCAGGGTAGATTTCCTTCAGAATGGATAGGTTTGTTCTCCTTGCAGTCCAGGGGACTCTCAAGAGTCTCCTCCAGCACCACAATTCAAAAGCATCAATTTCTTGGCAGTCAGCCTTCTTTATGGTCCAGCTCTCACTTCCGCACATCGCTGCTGGAAAAACATAGCTTTGACTATGCAGACCTTTGTTGGCAAGGTGATGGCTCTGCTTTTTAAGATGCTGTCTAGGTATTGCTGTACAGTACATGCCTTTATTACATAGGTTGTATTGCCAAGCTGCTTTTTAATAGGCAAAGTGAGTCCACCCAAAAGAATGAAGGAAACAAAATGAATGCGCATCTCCCTAATAACTCCAGTTCACCCTTCCAATAGCAGTCGCCAGTAGCGTCTAAAGCAACTTAACTCCATGGCCTGGGCAATGTCAGTTCAAACCCTCTAGAAAGGGCACGGTTTGTACATTTGTTTTCATAACTAATCATAAAGAATTAAACTAAAGAGACTGAGGACAGATGTTGAATTTAAATCACTGTCTCCTTTGGCATTTAGCCAAGATGAGTCTCCAGAATCTTTCTTCTTGATTTATGACAGTGTTTAAATCTCTTAAGTTACAGCTGTAGTGAGCTGAAGTAACTCGCAGAGTAAATAAGTCAAGAGAAGCTATGAAGATGACAGCAGAGTTTGAAGATTCTTCTGTATGCCCCCCACATGGATTTGCTTTTGCCTCAGATTACTGCATGTTGTAGTGATTTTTCTCTTCAAAACTTCCATTTGGAATTGTTACTCCACCTTGTCCGGAGGGAGAATGGGAGGTTATCCACTTATATATACCAAAGCATAAAATGACATCTATAAGTTCTCTTATAGAGATAAATCCTGTCATAAATCCTGGATATCAGAAACTAAATGTCCTACACATATGCATGATTACGTAATTTGCTTCATCTACCTTTCCTTCTCTCCTTGTGAAAAAGGCAGTAGTATTGTGTGTGGTAAGTGGGCCAATGTAAGGGACTTCCATGAGCACCATATTCAGTGGGGAGTGTGCAAGACCTACTTAGTTTGTTAATTATTTATTTATTATTTTCATTTATATGCAGGTTTTCTCTCCAAAGAGACTCAGCAGAGCTTACAGCACAAAAACAATATATAGTACACACACAACAATAAAATACTTCACGTAATTGAAATGGTTAAGTTCTGCTCACTGTTGTGTTGAACAGACACACATGACAGTCTGAAGAAGGGAATGTGGTTCGATTCAGCTTGTGAAGCAAAACTCCCATTCTGGATACTACATAAGGGCCATGTGCCTCTCATGAGGATCTTCCTAGCATACACATGAGATTACCATTCAGTGAGCAGAGCTTAACCATTTCCTCTAAAGGAGTGCCTTTCAACACCCAAGGAAGAAGCTCTGTTGTTGTCAAGACTGTGTGAAAATGGAATGCCTCAGTCATGGCTGCCATTTGTGAGAGCTGGTTTTCAGAGCACATGGTCTCAAACACCTGGTCTCAAATGACACACCTGGAAGGCTGCGCCGTTCATTTTGCACAGTGTGAAATGAAATGAGTTCATGAGGAATGACATGAGAAATAAATACAATTCTAGAAAAACAAATCTTTAGAAGGATTCTGGAGGTCTGTGCTACACAGCCCTCTGTTTGCTTTTGGCAACCAGATAAATGTACATAGCTGAATAGAATAACATATTGCTTTATTATTAAAATAAGGATTGATTAACTGTACTGAAATGTGAAAGAAATCATAGATCTCTCTCTCTCTCTCTCTTTTAAATGGGGCAAAGGCAATAATATAAACCAAAACTTTGCTTGGGGAAACACCCTGAAAATACATACTAAAAATATTTATCTAGGAGAATCCTCTACTAATTGTAGGCAGGCAGAGACTAAATACTCTAATCAATATGGCCTTTAGCAGGTAATTAGAATACAATGTAAGAGCTAATTGAAACTATGGAGTATGAAGGTTAGGCTAATTTAAAATTGGATTTATGACTTTTATTTTCTTGAATGAAGTAGTTTTGACATGAGGATGTATCTTTATTTTGAGTTTCTCCATTAATCGTCAACGTTTCAATTAAACTGTGGGGATGCCTGCTGTAAGAACAGTTGCCACCCAAGTGAAATGTTGTATAAACAAGTAAAGGGTTACACTTCTGTTAGATGTGCTTTGATTTTGTGAAATCTAATTTCACTCTGTGTTTGATATTGGTCTCTCGCGTGTGGCTTACTTTCTCTAAAAATCTAAGGCTTCCAAATAAAGTTGTTGTGTTTCACAGATAAGAAATGGTTTTCATGCAGTGTTTAGAGACTACTTAGTTGTTTTTCCCTCCCTTCTGTTTCCTAGGTAGCGCTAGTATTTCCCAACAATGATCCTGCTGCCTTTATGGTAGCATTTTATGGCTGCTTGCTTGCAGAAGTTGTCCCTGTTCCTATTGAAGTGCCACTTACCAGAAAGGTAAGAAGGAAATGTTTCTCTGCCTTGGTTGAAACGCTGTCAGAACAAATTGCCACAGGACGCCACTGCCTGAACAGGTCATGCATTTAGAGATGAAATGGAAAGGGCATAGGAATTCTTATATAACTTTCTTTTTTTATAAAAAATGATCACCCTTGTATATATGCTCTAATTATTCCACTTGAGCTCCGCTGGGAGACATCTGGACTTTGCGTTGGGTTTTGTTTCAGAACTGGCTGTAAGCTGTGTGTGCAACAGATAGGTCAAGAGCAGGATGAATGGTGAAAGTGTCACTTGGAAAGCATTATGGTGATTCTGGATTTTTTATTGTACATTTGCCCTGCTCCATTCACAGAATTTTACTGTATTTGGGCAAAACTATCCTTGATTTTTTAACCCTCTTGAATATTAACACTGTTCTTTTCCTTTTCCCCCCTTCCCCCTGGCACACAAAGTCTGTTCAGGAGGATAGTTACACAATGCCTTTTGATTAGCACTGCTAGGGGCTGTTTAGAACTGGGACTTTCTAGACAAAGTCCCAGTTCTCACTTTTCTGATGCGTAGTATGCCAGAACTTACTTTCCAGAAGACTAAGAAATTTCCAGTGTTAGTTTGCAGTCTCTTATAGCAAAATCAACAAGGACTCTTTTGGGCACCTTAAAGATTAAGGCCGGAGTCCTGTTGGGTTGCGCAATTCCAGAATGGTGAAGTTATGTGATCACAGAAGTGGTGCTAGCTATTTTGCAGGCTGTCTGTTACTTTCCCAGGTCCGGCGTAGTTGTGCAAGTGTTTGATTAACCTTGTGATGCATCCAGGTTTATGACAGAAAGAAGGCAAAATATGAAAACCACTTGCACAATGGCTTTTGCATGCTGTGTAAATCCAACAGTTTGCTGGCCTCACAAATGTTCTTCAGCATAAACTTTTCATGGTCTGTCCTGAAGAAGTGGGCTGCAGTCTTTAGCTAAAACTACTTAAACGTCTTTAAAAGTTCATGTGAAATAGAACTTGTAAAATCTTTCAGTTGCCACAAGGCCCTGTTGTTGATTTTGTTGCAAGGGTGTAAGGTTGTACAGTTGGCACAGTCCATTTTCAAGGTAAACATAGATTCTTGAAAAGGGCAAATGGTGGGAATGGTTCTCTTTAGGTTAAGTTTGGAACACCAGGAAAGGTGGCTGCAGAGTTCTCTGGTAAGCAGGAGTGTGTTTTGTCTGAATTTCGGCCAAGAATTATTCAGACATTTCCTATTGCAAAGTTAGGGTTTCAGTGGACTTGCAGAAGTCACTGTTTGCTCTTTGATTGAGCAACATGCTACCTACTCAGTTCTTAACCAGTTCCACCTAGGTTCTTTTAAAAAAGATTGTTATGAACTTCAGCTGCAGAGAAGTAGTTATTAGAACCTTGCTGTTGCTTAAGTGGCACTTCATATAACTTGAGAGGTGACAGAATTAGGCCAGAGGGAATTAAAACACCGAGGTGTTCAGTGTTTGTTTGGATGGCTCCAGTTCTCAGAGTTGGCTTTGAACAAGTTGCATTGATAATACATTTGAGCAAGAACATTCCCAAATGTATGCATTATTTAAAGAAATTGCAAAAAGTGTTCATCAGCAGCTAAAAAAAATTAAAGTTCATCCTGCTGTGCTAGGTGTGTTTCAGAACCATTTTGGACAGACAAATGGTTACAGAAAGCTAGTAATGTAAACTGGACTTTAAAAACGCTCTTAAAATATTTTTTTTAAAAACAGATTTTATTGTTAAATGTTGTTATTCATGACAATATATTAATATACCAATTCCTTCCTTGCATTTATTATCTCTTAGTTTCATTGACTTAAGGCAGTGGCTCTCAACCTTGAGTAACTTAGGAGTTCTTGCACTGCATTTCCCAGTAGTCTTCACCACCAGCTGTGCTGGCTGGGGTTTCTGGGAATTGCAGTCCAAGCACACCTGTAACCCAGGTACTGTATTCTCAACCACTGGACTAAGGCCTGTTTGGAACCCCTGTGGTATAAACAAGGAAAGGGGACTCTCAGTGCCTTATTTCTGTAGGACATTCCAGCTTTCCATATGTTTAAAGGTGGTTGGGTGACACTTCCGTTATTCTGTCACCATCTGGGAGATGTATGTAGAGGCTGGATGGAGTGTTGTTCTACTATCTTATGAAGGCTCTTGCTTTGTTGAAAGAGAGACCCCCATGTTTTTTTTTGTTTAATTGTGTTTGTTTTCACTGCAGTTCTGGGCACTTGTGACCAATATTGGGTGCTTTGTTTTCAAATGTACATCACTGGAGGTGTGAAATTCAGCATGGCTTTGGATCAGGAACGTAGAGGTGTGATGCAGAAGGAGAATTTCAAGGAAAATGTGTCTCCTGAATATTGCTACAGTAAAATGGCACTGCCACATTCCTCCCTTCCCCCTCCTCTCTTTAATACATAGGTGCTGAGTTTTAGAACAAGCCTCAAGAGATTCATCGGGTTCTTATTTATATATAGCTAAAAAGACATCTGAACCAAAATGTGCCAAAACAATTCTGTATCTTATTCTGCATCCGTCGATTCACATTTTTGCAAAAGGAGGGAGAAGGATTTAGACAATTGCCAAAGCCATTTTTTTTTTTTTGAAACAACCACTACTGTTATAAAATTACTTTTATATGAGAACGTTGAGATCATTTTATACTGCGATCATGCAGGGCATAACACCTGCTACCTACATCGTTGTTTCTGGATGATCAAGAGAGGTTTGTCTTCTCAGGAATGTGTGCTCAGTTAATTCACAGCAGCAACCAGAGCGCAACCAGTCAGTTGACAACTGCATTCCATTAGCTACCCTAAAAAGAATTCTGCTTGATCAGTCACAGTCCTATATTTCTATCTGGGAATGATTAGAGGCTGTGTTGTAAGCCTACTCTTACACATGGCCTATTATATGTCCTTGTTATTTATTCTTTCTGCAGTATTCCTTCAATGAGTGAAGATCTTGTGCTTCTTAGAATTTTGCCATTTATGAGGGACAAAGCTGTAAATCAAATAATTTGGGGTAAATGGTGGGCACAACGGAGGTATAATGGGAAAAAGGCATCAGCTTAAAAATGTGTTTTGAAGGCATCGTGGGAAGAGAATGAATCATGCAAAGAACCTCCTGTAGACTTAACTAGTGTGAACCCTCTATATCAACCTTTCCTAATCTGGTTCTTTCATGATGTTCTGGGCTTCAGTTACCAATCATCTCTAGTCAGGAATGTTGGGACTTAAAAGTACCAGCACTTAGCTACCCTGTATTCCAGTGGTCCCCAACCTTGGGCCTCCAGATGTTCTTGGACTTCAACTCCCAGAAATCCTGGCCAGCAGAGATGGTGGTGAAGACTTCTGTGAGTTCTAGTCCAAGAACATCTGGAAGCCCAAGGTTGGGGACCACTGCTATATTCTATTATATTTTTAGGGTTTCATTCTTCCCATAGTATAGGTCTTCATGGTTTTGTTGTACCGAGCAGTAGGGAAATGGGCAACAATTAAGCATACATATGTCGAACAAACGTCAGTTTTAATGCAATGTAATGTCTCTGAAATAAACCCTACTGCCGGTGACTACATTGCAATACTGTGAAATACTGCATGAGCTCAGGAATCCCCAATACACCAGTTTGAATCTTAGCATGTACAATAGTTTTCCTACCAGTTCTTACGGTGTTTTATTCCATCTTTAATGGGTGAAGAGTCTGCATTATGCCCTCCCCCAGCAACATAGCAAGAAATGCAACTTCGTATATGGGCAGTAAGTTGATTGACTGAGACAATCCCAGTTTCCCTTCTCTTTTACCACACCTTCCTTTCAGATCGATTCTGATTCCCATAATCTTCCGTTTAGTCCTTTCTCCTTCCTCCCTGTTGCCCCCATCTCTGTTTGCTTCTTCATCTTTCCTAGTTTCCCAGGTGCTTCCATGAACTCATCTTCCCTTCTCTGTGTCTCTGCTTTGTCATTCATTACCTCCTTACTTAAGTTCCCTGCTTTGATCTTAATAAATTTTCTCTTTGGTTCCCTTAGAGATTGGGCTGTGGCTTTTTTTTAAAAAAATTCTTGTTGCTTTTTAAAAGTTAAGTGTTCTTCCCAGTTGTTGAAAGAGTAGCTTGTTGCACTAGCAAATCTATTTTGTTGATTTTTATGTCCACAAATGCAAAATGATGAAGTAAGGAGTGGACATAACTTTTAAACAACAACAACAACAAAATAACATCATTGATTGTAAAGTTATTTTTGAAGGGTAGCAGTGTTGCTCATGTCATTGCTACCAGAGTATTACGTTATAGGAAATGTAGTTACTTACAACATATTACATGTCCAGACTCTGATTTCTTGGCATTATGGGTATGAGTTTTACAGTGTTCTGTAATCCATGATTTTAGCCATCTTGTTTTTGTTGGCTAACTGGTTCTTGTGGTTAAGCAACTTTCCAGGGGTAGGAAGTAGCTGGGAGTCCAGAACTCCCTTTGGATCTCAACCCTGCCACCACATCATCAGACACAACTGCATAACAGCATTAGGCCTCGCAGAAAATGAGTGAAAACTGAAACACACAACTGTGACACCATATTCCCCACTGCTATTTTTAATGAAAAATCTAATCTTGCTATGTGTGTATTTTCCCTCTAGGTACAGACTGGGAGACTATAAAATGTGAATTTGTGGTAGAATGTATGCCTTTATACATAGGAAATAATACATTTTGATCATCTTCTAAGAAAATAGTTTTCTATTATCCTTTGGAAGGATTTTGTGATTTCTGGAGATAAGATAGTATCTGGTTTTAGAAAGACAAATCTTACTGATGCATTACTCAGTATGGTTGATCTCCTTCCCATTTAGTCCTCTTCTTTCTTCCAATGTGGTTGGCACAGCAGAGTTGCTGGTTGAGAGGGAAATCAAAGACATCCTTCCCTGTCTCTCTGTATAGTTGCATGCTTTTTCACTGAATGTGCCTCAAACCCATCTCCATTCAAGAGAACTCCAATGTCAGGCTGGTGGGAGAGAATGCATCTCTAGGACAGGTCACTTTGCCGTTTTCTAGTTAAACTTTACCATCAATTGAATGGCTGCCAGAGATTATGAATATCTGTGCTGAATGTTCATCAACACAGACAGTGCCATGAATCTCTAAGGGTAACCACGATTCCAGACAGAAGCTACATATGCTGGGTTGCTAAAAGAGGACATTGATGGAGACAAAGCAGAAACAAGGAATGGAAAAACCTCCAGAGGCACAGAAGAACCCATTTATTAGGCATGTTTGCACTTAATGAAAGCAATGTGACAGCATGTAATAACAAACACTTGTTTCCACAACAACATGTTTCTACAACAAAAGAACTGTTTTGCAAAGGGATTATTCAGAGAAGGAATGTGGACCATGGAGTCCCCAGGACATCTTATTTTAGTGCCAAAAATTTAAATAAAATACATTTTAGAAGTGTTAAAAATGACCCTCCACTCACTTCTGATTTCGTTTGGAGGGGGCATCACAATCCGTACAAATGGCATCTGGACTCCTGAAAATGATAAAGCTCAATGCTATTTAGAGCTGGCATTGGGACAGCTGAGGCTGTGTGGATTCCAGATACCTCCCAGTTTAGGAATGTTAGAAATTACTTAGGACTTCCCTGACGAACCATGCCTAAATGTTGTGTTCGCATAATGGCTGTGTGCCTAGCCTGGAGGAGATCTGGATCTGGCATAACTCAGCTCTGCTTCACCCCTTTCAACCTATTTTTGTGGTTCTTCTGTTGGCAGGTTTTTGAGACCGGCCAGCACCGGAGGGCAGGAATATCTGCTGGCGCAAGGGAGGCTGTGCTGGCATAAAAGGCTCCTGCCGTTTCTATATTCACTGTAGTTGGTCCATCTTTTTGCTCTCTGCCACAGGAATACCACTGTTAGATGGCACAAGGGGCAGACAATTCTGTGTCTTATAGCAGTGGTCCTCAACCTTGGGCCTCCAGATGTTCTTGGGACTACAACTCCCAGAAGCCTTCACCACCACCTCTGCTGGCCAGGATTTCTGGGAGTTGAAGTCCAAGAACATCTGGAGGCCCAAGGTTGGAGACCACTGTCTTATAGCATGTTCTGTATCGGTGGGGAAGATGATATTTGAAATAGGTTGGATCCATTCTCCTTTCTGCCTCACTGCCTGCTGTGTATCAAGTGACAAGAAGATGGAGAAAGAGATCAAGCTTATCATATGTTGTTCAGAGTAGGCACTCTTATTGTGTAGCTTTACACACTTACTACATGCTTCTGGGACCCTCAGTAAGCTTTATACTTAAGATGATAGTTGGAGCTTCACCTGCTTTGTTGACAACCCCAAGCAGTTGAAGCTGGTTGGACAAATCAGTTAAAGGCTTCCTTTGACATTAGCTTGGGATGTTGGTTGGAAATATGAAATTACAGATTTCAGCCTGCCTGGGGTGTGTGGGGGGGAATCATGACAGATGTTGATGGGTAATATGACAACCTTGGAATGATGTTAATCAAAATCAAAGTGATTTATCTTGGTGTAAGAAATTGCTGACATGACTTGCAAATGCTGACATTAGCAAGTAGAATTAATAATAATGGTGAAGAAGGAAAATAAACTTATTTTCAGGAATTAGTCTGGAAAGGAAGGTAGTCATAAACTGATGGCGCCAAATTTTTAGTGTGTATGCTTACTTCTGTGAATGCCTTTTAAACCTTGTAGATTTTCCGGGGCCTGGGTAATTCCAGTACTCCTTTGACTACCGTCAGCACAGCATGCAACAGAGTTTTTGCCCAAAATGGCATGATTTCATCCTCTTGTCTCTTTCTATTTATCTTAAAAAGGGGACTCCTCCTTCTGTCTGGATTTTCATAGAAGCCAAACCAAATGAGAGCTCATTTCTGAAGACTTTTCTTGCAAAAGTATGTCTTTAACTTTGCCAAGCTGGAAATAAATCTCTAATATCTCTAATAAAAAGAAAATGTGAATAAATAAAGATGACAAGTTGTTGGATGTCTGAACTTTGAAAAGGTTATACAGATCTTTCATGAAGTAGTTTCTCATTCCACCATATCATTGAAAAATCAGCCAACAAAACTCATCAATGTAGTAAAACATTTTCTCAAATCTGGGTGTGGAAAAACTGGTGCTAAGCATTGCAGAGTTATGCATGTCTTTTAACTGAGCTTGATAGCTCTACATTAAAAAGCAAAAACGACTTGAATTGGAACTATTGTGGAAAACAGATCTGTGCGTGAAATATCATCTGTCTCCATAGCCACTAAATTTCTAATCTTTTCTTGTTTACTTCGGTTCTCCTGTGTATAATTTCTTTGAGATGAGAACATAATGATACTTGTTTGTCTTTGCAAAATGCTATATTCTGTTTTCAATTCCTTCTCTGACTAGACATCTATTTTTTTGAATAATAATGTACATATAATGTGTATGTGTTGGTTTGTAGATGCATATGACATACCAAGGCTCTTTATGTGCATATGTTAAGTAGTTTTTATACTGCTGACTGCCTGTGTGCATTGAAACGTGGAAGCCTCATATCACTAATGCTACATTCTTCCTACCTGGGTTTTTCCACACTAGAAATTATGTACTATATTCTCTTCTGAGTGGAAAGGGAGAAAAGTCAAGGCAAAATACTGTATATAATGATTGTTAGATCTGGGTTGTTGTTGTTTCCACTTGAAGCTGCATAGGTCCACCAGCCCTTCTGCATCAAGGTAGGGAACAGATGTGGGAGCAGATGAAATCCCCTCCCTCCAGTTTTTTTTAGTTAAATGAACCCTTCATGAGCCAGTGTGGTTGTATTGGCCTTGATGTCATAAGAAGCTGGCTCCACCCACCCACCTTCCTCCCCAATGGTGGAAGATAAGGGGTGAGGAAAGTTCACATCCACTGTTATTTCTAATCACTTATTGGATGTAGTATCAGAGGTCTTTGTGCTGTCCTGCTAGCCTTTCCCATAAGAGAGGCCTCCCCAGGCCAGACAGGAAGCTTCTGAAGGCTTGATTAGGCCCAAGGGAACAGAGATCCCGTTTGCTGAAGGACTTAACAAGCTTTACAGTCCAAGGCTCCACCTGTTTCAAGGATGGTAATCATGGAGCCCTCAAATACTTTTTTTTCCGGCTATTGGAACCTCATGGGGAAGATTAACACTCCCACACAGAAGTCTTAATCCCCAAAATTTTAATCCCCCTTCCCCTCAAAAACTGGACAGATATGCTGCTGTTCCTTGGTTTAGCCAATCATTCTTTAAAAAGACCCATAGAAGTGGGTTTTGAGAAACCCCATCTGGCTTTCAGTTTCACTTGGAGAGGTTGATGAGTCCCAGAATAGACCAGAGATAGCACACACCCGCCCAATACCCCCCAAAACTTGGAGAGGGAAACCTTCCAGGTCCCCATAGCTTTCCGATCCCTAAACTCCCCAAAACTTGGAGAGGGAAACCCTCCAGGTCCCCATAGCTTTCCGATCCCTAATCTCTTTCAACAACTTGTTGCCAGCAGTGGCCATCCAGATGTCTCTCAAAAGCCCACAAGGAAGGTGAGAGGCAACAGTCTTCTAGCACTCTTTGTCCTGTTGTTAGGTTTACTAGCCTCTGACCGTCAAGGCTAGTAATCGCTGATCAAAGAGCTAGCCTCCAGAAATTTCTCTTGGCTCTTCTTTTTAAAAAAGGTGTCCCAAGACAGTGGCCATCACCACTTCTTGTGGCTGTGAGTTTCATGTGAGTTTCATGTGCTTAGTGGATCAGGTGCACTAATTTTGTCTGTTGGATCCTATTTCTTGATTTGGTGATCTTGAGCTTAGTGTCATAGGAGGAAATAAAAATTGTCTGTCTTCAGTACAGATAGAAAGCAAATTAATGTAGGTCATACCTTATGCCTGAGTCTTTTTTCTAAGCCTGGGTAGTCTTGTACTTCTCCTTTTCCTAGCTGCCAGTTTATGTGAGTCTGGGCCAAACTGCACAGAAGCCTTCAAGCCATAGGTATGAGAGTGAGAAATGTCGCAGTCTTCAGGGTTTTTTTGTTCTTCTGTTTTTAAAACTAGGTGAAATTCCTAGGATGCAATATTCTTGGTCCCATGCTCAAAATCTATGGAATGCAGAGAACTCTGCTTTATGATAGTAGATCCTTTAAAAGCATTTTATTGGCTAAGAAAAGCAAATATCTTTTGTATATAAAGTATATGTGTGTGTTGTTAAAATAGATTTTTATGTACTGCTCATGCAGTGATTTACTTTCATGGGTCTTCTCTCACTTTGTCTCCAAACCAGGATGCAGGAAGCCAACAGATAGGCTTCTTGCTTGGAAGCTGTGGTGTAACTGTGGCCTTGACTAGTGATGCGTGCCATAAAGGGCTGCCTAAGAGCCCCACGGGGGAAATACCACAATTTAAAGGTAGGCTTCACGCCTCTTGCACAGAGTCGGTGAAAAGCTGAGAATTCTGTTGGTCTAGAAAAATCTCTAAGTGTGTGTCCTTCATAAGAACATAAGAAGAGCCCTGCTGGATCAGGCCAAGGGCCCATCTAGTCTCACAGTGGCCCCACCAGATGCGTTTGATTTGGAGAAAGGCAGAATGCCACTTTGTAGTGTACTGTAGGCATCTGTATGAACTATGCTGCCTGTCCTACTTTTTAATAGTTGGACACAATTGTTATCTTGACAGAATAGGAAGATACGTGTATTGCTAGTATCATCTAACTGAGAGGGGGGGAACTTCTGTGAGTTTCTGTTACCTGGCTGACGAAAGATCTTGGTTAGATGCCAGCACCACATCCTGTGGCAAGGAGTTTGATTTGGAGAAAGGCAAAATGCCACTTCGTAGTGAACTGTAGGCATCTGTATGAACTATGCTGCCTGTCCTACTTTTTAATAATTGGACACAATTGTTATCTTGGCAGAATAGGAAGATACGTGTATTGCTAGTATCATCTAACTGAGAGGGGGGGAACTTCTGTGAGTTTCTGTTACCTGGCTGACGAAAGATCTTGGGATTGCCCAGTGCGAGACCGTGATTGTGCAAATACTGCTAGGTTGCTAGACATTGCTATAATTACTGTCCCCACCCAACCCCACATCAGTTCCTTTTTATATCAGGGCCCATTCTGTCTTTCTTGGGTGAATAAGCATGCAGTCTCAGTCAGAAGGTTCAATTATGAGAAAGGGTGAAAGGGAGAACGATTATCAATATCATCATGGCTCAACTGGAAGTTGACTTGTGACAACTAGACTTCTTTCTTATTAGGTCCGCTAGTCATCCAAGTAGCTTCTTCAGCCTGAGGAGAGTTGATAGGAGACTCTTGATATATTCTCCACGTTGGTTTCACTTCCCCTGGTCTTAATAGGCTCATTAGAAGTCTAGTAGCTGCCCAGAGTGGCCTGGTTGCCAGATGGTGCTGGGTATAAATCCAATAAATAAATAAATAGTTGCCATGACTCAACTTCTAGATAACATCACTTGGGTGACTGAGAATCTTCACAGAGATCATGGTTCAACCTACGCCCGAACACAAGTAGTCCACCACTCTGATGCCCTTATATTGAAACACTGCAATATCATGGTTCAACCTACGCCCAAACACAAGTAGTCCACCACTGTGATGCCCTTATATTGAAACACTGCAATATAGTTTTAACACAGAGCCTTAATTATCCATGCAAAGTCCCAGGACAGATGAAGTTCCACAACCTAGACTGCTATCTGTTGCAGAAGAGTTCATAGGAAAGCCTACAAATTGCCCATCCTTGGCAAGGCATAGAAAATCGACACGAGTGAGGAGAAAAGGAATTCTGTTTTATCTCATAGCAGTCTTATTGCTTCACCCTGATGAAAAGATTGGAATTTCAAGTTGTGAGATTGTCTCATAAAAAAATTGGGTCTAAAATCCTATTGCATTTTTATGCAGGCGTAAGACAATCAGCGTACATTTCGGTGCGCAACAGCAAGTAGGGTACACTGATATTTAAACATGCCACTTCACTGCCAAGATTTATGCCAATTTCGATTGTGTTTACAGCAGACGTACACAATAGGATTTTGGCCTGTATAAACAATGGGGTAGAAAGGAAAGCTCCACCCAGCGAAATGACTTTTTGTTAGGGAGATTCCTTCTTTTAATGAAATATTTTTCTTAAGTAGACACATCTGTTTGGCCAGTAGCAGCTCAGTTAATCTTTTTTGTAAAATAAAACAATAAGTGATGCTATATGTTTTTTTTTCCATAAGGTTGGCCCAAGCTGCTATGGTTTGTCACAGAATCAAAACACCTTTCAAAACCTCCTCGAGACTGGTTCCCACATATCAAAGATGCAAACAATGACACAGCTTACATTGAGGTAAGCTCGGTATATCTGTTTGTTCATGTGTCAAATTGATAGGAGGTTGTTTTTCTCTTAGCTTTTCCCTGGATCTTTAGGATTTAAGGGGTCATGTAATGCAGGAATGTGTGGAGAATCTGCAGCGTGTGTGAATGCAGAAGCAGGTAACTGGCAGAGAAATGCTTAACGCTTTGGTGGAAGACTAACTGTATGGCCAGTGACCCCCGGCTAGTTTACTTGCTGCTTATAAGCTGAGATGTGGAGATACCTCTGTAATCCTCTTTCTCAGTATCAACAGGAACTTGATGTCAGCTTTCCCCATAATGTGAACATCAAACAAATACTCCCTTGGCAAGTGAGCATAATCTTCTGAATTCCACAGAAGCTGCTTCTGCTATTTCACCTAAAGGAACTTGGATAAGTTCCTTTTGGGTGAGGTGATTTTTGTTTATGCACCTCTCAGAATTCCCCAGCCAGCCGTGGGAACTCCAGTGGTGTATTCTCCCCCCAAAAATAAATTTCCATATGTATGACTAGCTTATGTTTGGGGGGAGGCTTGTGGGCTTTGGTTGGGATACCCCATCAAAGGAGGGATTTGGGAATGGGGCCTGATGGGTTAATGGATTCCCCCTCCCCTGGTATACTTGGTTGCAGCGAATTACTTGTCCCTTGAGTTTTTTTGAGGGTTTGATAGCTCTGGCCCCCTGAACCTTGATGAGCAAAAAAATTATTTTGCAGTACAAAACGTGTAAAGATGGAAGCGTGCTCGGCGTGACGGTGACAAGAATTGCACTGCTGACCCATTGTCAAGCTCTCACGCAGGCCTGTGGATACACAGAAGGTAATTCAGCCTTTCCATTAAAGTCCCTCAAACAATTTTTGAAATTGCACTGTGCAATAAAGTCTGTTGAGAGCTCGTTGAAGCTGTAGTTTAGAGACAGGAGAGCTGTCCCTTACCAAGCAAAATCTGCCTTGACTAGGAAAATAGTTGAACTGCGTCCCACCGACACACCCGCCCCCGTCGAAGGGAATAGCTCCTGATGCTTCCTGATCAATCTCATCTCATGGAAGTAGTTCTTGGAAAAACTGTCTTTCCCTCAAGTCTGTGTTTTCCTGGCACAGAGCCCAGGTAAACGTGTAGGAGGGAAGCAGGTTTAGAAGGTTACGGTGGGAGGTGGAGAAATCTGACCAGGTAGGGCTGTAGGGAGGAGTGTAGGCTTACTTTCTACCCGATTAAAAGCTAGGCTGGGGAAGAATTTACAAGACTGTAATAAATGCTTCTGTTAAGACAAGTAATAAGGATGAGCTTCTGAGATCTGTATTTCTGAGCCACAGAATATAATTCTCAATAACATCTCCGTGTCATTATTTTTAAAAAATTATTCTCGTACTGCCTCGATTTCAGTGGTTTTTTTTTAAAAACAAAAAGAGAGAGCCTGTTTTCAAAATGTACCATTGATTATGACACATAATGCAAATGAAAACAAGAGCAAGAGGAAAAGCAAGCGATGGTCTGGCCAAGGGCAACCAGTCAGTAATGATTTGCCTCAAATTGTTTTCTAGCTCATCTGTTGGCATTTTACCACATTTTTATTTCAATTATTTCATAAAATGAGGTTTTCTTCAGGCTGTGTCATGTACTTAGTAATCAGCTCTGTCTTTCCTTGGCAGCTGAAACCATTGTGAATGTATTAGATTTCAAGAAGGACGTAGGCTTGTGGCATGGGATTCTCACAGTAAGTTCATTGTTCTTTTAAGTAGTAATTTTTTCTGGCCATGCTGACGTCTCCCCTAATTACGTCTTGGCTGGATTACTGTAAGACACTCTACATGGGGCTGGCTGTGCCCGGAATCTCCAACAGGTCCAAAATACTGCCACCAGATTGCTTACTGGGGCTGATTACAAGGAACATAGAACTCCCCTGTTACAGCAGCTCCACTGGCAAACAGTTTGTTACTGGACACAATTCGAAGTGATGATAACTTATAAAGCCCTGAACAACTTCAGTCCAAGCTATCTGAAAGACCTCATCTCCCCCTGTGAGCTTGCCTGAGCATTAAGGTAATCAGCGGAGGCCCTTCTCTTGGTTCTGCCACCCTCACAGTCATGCTTGGTTTGGGCATGAGAGACAGGACCTTCTCTGTAGCTGCTCCTAGACTCTGGATTGGGCATGAGAGACAGGGCCTTCTCTGTGGCTGCTCCTAGACTCTGGAACTCCCTCCCACTGGAGGCCAGGCTGTTTCCATTTATGCTGTCCTTAAGCAAGTAGGCAAAGAACTTTCTCTTCAGGCAGGCTTCTTATGCTGTCCTTAAGCAAGCAGGCAAAGAACTCTCTTCAGGCAGGCTTTACCTTAGTAACGGGAGGTCTGAGAGGGATTTTTAAATGGATTGTTGTGCTCTGTTGATTTTAAATGTGTTTCTAGATAGGATTTTATTTACCATTTTTAATATAAGGCTTGTTTAATTGTTTTTTTAAAAATATTTGTATACTTAATGTTTTAATATAAGACTTGTTTAATTGTTTTTTTAAATATTTGTCTACATGTTATCTTTTCAATTATGTAAGCTGTTTTGGGTCCTTTTAAGGATTTTAAATGTTATCTTTTTAATTATGTAAGCTGTTTTGGGGCCTTTTAAGGAGAAAGGCAGGGTAAAAAAATATTTTAAATAAAAAATTGGTTTATATATGGTGTCCAGCAAGTAATTTTTGATAACAGACAGTGGCCACAATTGGCAAAAGGAGTCAATAAGGTCTGGGGTAGCTACATGCAGTATAAGTACATGAATTATGCAGCTTTATCCTCCAACATGTAATCACTGCTCCCTACTCCTTAGCATCTACCTCATTCTCCCTGTTGGTAGGCCTTCTCAAAGAGAATGTATATAGCCAAAATAGCTAATTAACAACATGTAGCAAAGTATTCATTTGTTCGTTTGTTTCAAATGGCTTGAAAACTTCTCTAACTGCAGAATACTTTCTTGTATTGTAATGAGACTCTTCTTTCCTCCTCTTTAAGTAGCATATATTATTTTGCACCTTCTTCTTTGTATTTATTTTAAGTCTCTGATGAACTGTTGTGGGTATTTGATTTTTTTAAAAAATAGACATTCATGTATGTCTTATTTTTAAAAATGGTTAACTGCCTCCTTCAGAGCTCTCAGAGTTGAGAAGAACATCATTTTTTAAAACGTATTTTCTCCAGAGTATTAGCGTCTCCATTTCCCCAGCAGGAAAATTAAAAATATGGGGGAAATAACTCATACTCATAATATATTCTTCCCTTTACAATAATGATTAAAATCATTAAAAGCAGGATTTAAAAAATAGTTTCAGTTGCATTTCACTCCCTCAAGATGATTTCTAATAACTATGTAAAACAGCTTACAGTACTGGAAAATTACTATCCATGTATAATTTCAGATCCTAGGATTAAGCAGGCAAAGAGGTGAGGAGTTTCAGTGACTGAATTTTGCTTGAGGAATAATCTATTGGTCCTTGTCAGGCTAAAACCAAGCAGATTTTCCTTGTGGTACAGGTGCTTCTTTTTCTATGCATCTCCAAGAAACTGTATTGGAATAAAAAGGAATTGACCATAAACCATTTGAAGTTTTGATTATAAAACAGAGTGGAGTTTATATCTTAATTTGGTACTGGATTCTTCAATAGTTATTAGTTTCTCATGACGTCATATAGCTACTTGGCCATTTATGTGGATTTTTTTTAAAAAGTTACAATAACTGACTGACATTTAAAGAGGTAATATAAATGTATCTTTGTTTGATGATCTTCTGAAACAAAGTTTTACCTCACAAACATGCTTTGTTTCACTCTTGGTAAAATATACATTTCCTTTCTTTATTTCAGAGTGTTATGAACATGATGCATGTCATAAGCATCCCATATTCCTTAATGAAAGTGAACCCACTTTCGTGGATACAAAAAGTATGCCAGTACAAAGGTAGGCATTACATTTCTGTATGTGCATGATCCGAGCAGATGGAAAGTTGGCACCATTCGAAAATCTAGAATGTTAATTGTGTCAGCCAGAGCCGTGACCATCTTCTTTTGCTTGTTCTTTTACTTTTTTGAGATAGGAGGGAGCGGGGAAGTCTTAAGACATGAGAGTCCAGTGTATGATCCCATGCCTGGTATGTGATGGACAGTTAAATATACATCATGGCCATCTTCCTATTTCCCTATGTCTTATATTGTGTAAGTTATAGTAGACCCAGCAGATTTTGAGTTTTATATGGAATATGCAATTGTCCTTTCTCTCCCCTCCAGCGAAAGTGGCTTGTGTAAAATCCAGGGATATGCACTGGGCATTAGTAGCACATAGAGATCAACGGGATATCAACCTTTCTTCACTCCGAATGTTAATAGTAGCTGATGGCGCCAATCCATGTAAGTGATGACGTTTAGAATGAGACAAAGGCACAATCTACCATACTCTATTGTGGGGCATTTTCAGTTGACATCAAAGCTGCAAGCCACTCAATAAGGCTTGGACTCAAATGTCTCAAGATATTCTCTCTAATACAAAATTGCTACGCGCATATATGAACATTTTGGATTTTACTGCAAGCTGTTTTCAGAAATAATAATTTGTTTTGGATTGTGGGTTCTTTTCCAATGTTCCCTTCCTTTAAGAAGGTCTGGAAGCAAACCTGATATTCCATGTTAATGCAAGTTACAGCAAATCCAATTATATGTGACATGACAAGCTGTTATATAAAGGATGAATCAAATTTATCCTTAAGCAGTAGAATAAAGCAGATTTCTCTGCAAACCATTGAAACTTTTATTTTCATATTTGAGTTATCCATACCGAAATACAAAATGAATAGAGGTGTTTCTGTTGCAAAATAATGAATATGTGCTGAAGGAGAGGCCTGCGCTTCTTTCAGCTTTTACTTCTAACTTGGTAGACATTATTTTTTCATGACTCGGCCTTGTTCTAACTGTGTTTTATATTAACTATGCTTTATTAGTTGGAGGAGATTCTCAAGCAGTGATACTCGTGTCTCTGCAATCCAGTTTATAGATTTCAAAGAGCAATAATATATCTAAAAGAAATACATTATTATAGTATTGTCCGAATTTTGCTGTGTAATCCTAACATGACCCCTTCACAGACTGCTGCCTTGTCGTGGCAAAGGGGCTTGAGTAATTCAAAGAAGCTATGGGCTATGCCGTGCGGGGACACCCAAGACAGACAGGTCATAGTGGAGAGTTCTGACTAAACGCAATCCACCTGGAGCAGGAACTGGCAAGCCACTCCAGTATCTTTGCCAAGAAAACTCCATGGAATTTATACACAGAATACATCATGTGAAAGGCTGGACTGGAAGAATCCCAAAATGGAATTAAGATTGCCGGAAGAAACAACAACCTCAGGTATGCAGATGATACCACTCTGATGGCAGAAAGTGAGGAGGAATTAAAGAACCTCTTCAGAGGAGAGGTGAAAGAGGAGAGTGCACAAAATGGTTTGAAGCTCAACATAAAAAACAAACAACAAAACTAAGATCATGGAGGGTAAGATATAGAAGCAGTGTCAGATTTTACTTTCTTGGGCTCCATGATCACTGCAGATGGTGACAGCAGCCACGAAATTAAAAGACCCCTGCTTTTTGGGAGGAAAACGATGACAAACCTAGACAGCATCTTAAAAAGCAGAGACATCACCTTGCCGACAAAGGTCTGCATAGTCAAAGCTATGGCTTTTCCATTAGTGATGTATGAAAGCAAGAGCTAGACCATAAAGAAGGCTGACTGCCAAAGAATTGATGCTTTTGAATTGTGGTGCTGGAGGAGACTCTTGAGAGTCCCCTGGACTGCAAGGAGAACAAACCTATCCATTCTGAAGGAAATCAACCCTGAGTGCAGATCCTGAAACTGAGGCTCCAATACTTTGGCCATCTATGAGAAGAGAAGACTCCCTGGAAAAGACCCTGATGTTGGGAAAGTGTGAAGGCAAGAGGAGAAGGGGACGACAGAGAACGAGATGTTTGGACAGAGTCATCGAAGTGACCAACATGACTTTGACCCAACTCTGGGAGGCAGTGGAAGACATGAGGGCCTGGCGTGCTCTGGTCCATGGGGTCACGAAGAGTCGAACAGGACTTAACGACAAAACAGCAACAACAATCCTAACATAAAGATGCACTGCTGAAGGGGGTGTGTGTTGAGATAAGCAGAAGTATGGCTATATATATATTTTTTGGGGGGGGGATAGTACATTTAATAATTCAAAACCTTTCTGATCAAAGAATGTCTCTAATTTTTGTATTGTAAATAAACTGCTTATTATGGACAGAACCTATGTTGAATTTGGATGTCTCTTTTTTTTTTTTTAAACTCCAGGGTCTATTTCTAGTTGTGATGCATTTCTTAATGTCTTCCAAAGCAAAGGTCTGAGACAAGAAGTTATCTGTCCTTGTGCTAGTTCACCAGAGGCTCTAACAGTGGCTATTAGAAGGTATGGTATATATACATATATTTTCATTTAAAACAAACAGGCCTGTAGGCAGTATAATTTCATTTATTCAGCTGTCCCTGGACTAAATAAATGGAGAAACATATAGATACTGGACCTCTCAGTTTTTTGGATTGGGAACTTTGCATCAGTCTTGGGTTATTGTTTACTTCTTCTGATTTTTTTTTAATGATTCAATTTGGATATTAAAGGCTTTGGTACCCTGTTGTTTTTTGTTGGAAGTATGACAAAAAAGTGTATATTTTTTTTCTTTATGTGCAGACAGCTGTTTCATATTTACCTCTACTCCAGTTTCGATTCTAGTGACAGAGAATTTATTATGAGTCTGTGGTTTCATCCACAGAGTATTTGTGAAAGTTACACACTCAAGAAGATGCTAAGATTGTACAGGTTTGGTTTCATCACCTGGGCCACATGTCATAGCAAGAAAGTAACTGTGTAGTAAGAGAGATGTGGCCATAGATCCTTGCACACTGGAGGAACTTGGGCCAGTCACAGTCTTTTTGGTGAACTCTCGCCTCAGTCAACACAATAGTAAATGGGGAAGTATAGCAACGATGAAAATACCATCCGTCATTATTGCCCAGTTATCAGTGTCCTGTTGGTTACACCGTAATACACATACAGTGGTGCCTCGCTTAACGGCGATAATCCGTCCCAGGAAAATCGCTGTTAAGCAAATATGTCGTAAAGCGAAAATTAAAAGCCCATTGAAACGCATTGAAAACCATTCAATGTGTTCCAGTGGGCTAAAAACTCACCGTCCAGTGAAGGTCCTCCATACGACGGCCATTTTCGGTGCCTGTATAGCAAGGAATCCCTCCCTAAACACATCGTTATGTGAAGAATCGGTTCCCGAAGCAGGGAACCAATCATCGCAAAGCGAAAAAACCCTATTTAGACCATTGTTTTGCAAAAGCGATTGCAAAAACGTCGTCGTGAAGCGGATTCATCGTAATGCGGGATAATCGTAAAGCAGGGCACAACTGTAATGCCTTCGATCTTTTTTCCTGGTGTCATGTTGGGCATTGAGGAGAAGTCGTTCACTATATTATAACTGAAATTTGTGAAGCCAGTCATCTGTTGGTGTGTTTTTTAAAAAAAATGAATACAATTACCTAATACCCAACTAGAATCTTAGGCATTTCAGGGAATGCTGAAGTAATTGAAGATTCATCCTAAAGTCAAACATTCCCTCGTAAGGGATTATAAAAGGCAGAGATGAACACTCTCACCTCTCTTTCATCTGGAATATGTCTTGAGCTTTACACAGGAACATCTGTCTTAACTGAAAGCGATGTTGCTCTGAAAGAGTCATGCCACTAAAACTGCACATTGATGTATTTCCTCCCATTTGTGCCTTAGCTTTTAAGTCCTGTGTAGATCGATGCAAGATGTATGCTTGTGTTAAAAATCCCAAGCAGTGAATCATTGTAGAGTTTGATAATGTTTGTGTATTATGTTGATAAGATCTGATATGGAACAGTTTTTGAATATTTATTTAAATTTAACGCACTTCCTCAACTTTGGCAAGAGATGCATTGTTGAGAAAAGTTCTAGCCAATCTCTAACACAGCTTGACTTCTTCAGTTACTTTTCCCCATTGTTCGTTTTGTAATATCTTTTCACATATTGTCGATACGTTGATCCACAGAACCCAAGAAGACTCACTGAAATTTTCCAGTGTGTCATTTGTCTAGCCCCAACTTTGCTCCTGCTTGTGAGTCATACCGTAGCATGAAGCAGGAGCATGCTGCTAGAATGTGATTTCTGTCATAACAGGACACAAGCGTGTAAAGGAAAGCTGGGAATAGAAACCTGCTGATGTTCCATGTTTCTTTTCTCTTGGCAAAACGGCTCAAACCTGGAGCCTTCCTGTTCCATTTGTGTGTGTCTGCTTTTGTTGTAGAGTGAGAGTCATTTCTGATTCAAATGTATTTGACATTTTTCACACATTTGCAGGCCAACAGATGATAGCAATCAACCACCAGGCAGAGGGGTCTTGTCTATGCATGGTCTTACCTATGGTGTTATTAGAGTAGATTCTGAAGAAAAACTTTCTGTGCTAACTGTGCAAGATGTTGGCTTGGTGATGCCGGGAGGTAAGGCTTTATTTGCATTCTCTGGAAGATGGGAATTCCTAATATTAAAGCAAATTGCTCAGATATGTAGATTGGTTTAGCGAAAGGATATAGTTTTAAATCAACTGTTGCAATTTTCTTGGCGAGGAATATTAGCAATTGTAACTTTTGTAGCATATGAATATGAAAAAAAAATCTTAATTGCTTAAGTAGTGCATGAGAGTTAGGATATAAAATGTCCACCAAAAAGAAAACTTTCAGCATAGAGCAAAAAGTTACAGTGGTGCCTCATAAGGCGAATGCCTCGTGCAACGAAAAACTCGCAAGACGAAAGTGTTTTGAGATTTGTTTGGTGACTCGCAAGACAAAATTTTCTGTGGCCGTGCTTCGCAAGATGAATGGGAATGCATCAATTAAATTTCAATGCATTCCTATGGGAAACCGCGCCTCGCAAAACAAAATTTTCGCAATATGAAATGACTTGCGGAACAAATTATTTTCGTCTTGTGAGGCATCACTGTATATTTAAAGCTGTGCTCAGGAAAACACTGGAAAAGCAGGTAAACCTTTCTAATCACGCAAAAGATGTGCATCATCCTTTTATCCTAACACCTGTTCCAAGTGAATACAGGAAATGAGCCTCTTTTTTGATTGTCTGTTAAGCACAATATGGTCTCTTTCTCACAAATACTATTTATTTATTTACTGTACTGTGAATTTGCAGCCTCCACAGACTTTGACACGATTAAAGCCTGTATTTCGTTCCAGCTCTCTACACCACTAATTATGGGCTGTAAGGATATTATGGGAAGTAGAGATCACACATACAACCAGTGCCTCATTCATGAGCAGCAATTTGTTGCCAAGATTTACATAATTTCCTGTATGCAATATAAATCTGCATGAGGGTTCTGGCTGTTTATTTATTTAAACTATTTTTATCTTGCATTTCTCCTTAAAAGGAGCATTACTGTTAGGAATCCCAAACTCCGGTTGTAAGATACATTTTGTTGGGATCCTGCTGGAGTTTATAATGAAGACAAGTTGGTGCAAATGCATAATTCCCATTCATTTCAATGACAAAACGTCAACCTGGCTGCATTTCCCAGTAGACCATGTTGATGATTCATAGAGGCGCCATTCCCTGGAGGGTGCCAGCTCCATTCAAACCAGTTTTTCAAAACTTGCTTTTTCTCCTCTTTGTTGGTCTGAACTCCATTGCTAATTCTGGTTATCCTTCAGTTCAACATGTGCTTACAATTATTAAAAGACATCCATGTCCCAGGCAGATTATGATAGTTTTCATGCCGATGCCCTGAGTCTGAACTTCGAAATGTGACATGATGCTTTGATTCCTTTTAAACAAGGCCAAGTTTTTCCACGAAAGAACTTCTAATAAATCATACTTAAAACAGCACACGTCCTCCCCTCCCCTCCCGTATTTTAAAACTGTGGCAAAGTAAAAAAAAAAATCTTTCTGAGAGTTGAAACTGTTACAGCGTAGACTGCACCCATGATTTTGTATCCCTGTGAATGTTTCATAATGGATGGAGGTGAACTTAAATCTCGTGCTCTTTGCTCTTATAAAGGCATTCTGCTCTGTTTCCCATTTTCTTGTCACGTTGGCTCCTTTCCCATTTCTAAACATACGATTGTCTCAGAATTTACTGCAGTAGCAATCCATCAAGAGTCATATATGGCCTTCCCTTTTTATGGCCAAGACTGGAAGGAGCAGAAGCATTAAGAGGCACTTCTAGTGTGGTGGTATAATTACCAAGAAGTTAAGAGTAAAGGGTCATTCGGATAGATTCCTTTTTTTTTTCTTGACAATGCGGCCTCCTTTTTTCCAGCAATTTAAAAATTTCCTAATAATTATTACTGAGGGTATATTTAGTCTTCTACGCAACCCTTCTTTTTATAGTTATAAGGCATAGAAGGTTTGTCTTATCTGATTAAATATTTAATGTGATTTTGTTTGAGGAACTACTTCCATATCTTCTCACGATACTAATGAAAGAGCCTGCTTTCCTTTGGAAAAGAGGGGCGGGGTGCTAAGAAGAACTGAGTTCTCTTGACAAGCCTTCTGAAATCTGAAAAGAATTAGCAGGAAGCTAACCCCAAAATATCTTTCATGTTAGCGCTTTTCAGAACTTGATAAACTACATGAGCTGTTAAATCCAGATTTGATGCCACGTGCACAGTGCAAAATTGGCTTTTAAATTTTCTAGTGTTTACATTAATACTGGGCAGTAAAGCTATGAAATCAACGTGTTTGTTTGTTTGTTTCTTCATCTGCATTTGTATATTTGTGGAGGCTTAGCAAGGCCCTGTTTCCAAAAGCTCTCTTGCTTTGTCTTTACAGCCATCATGTGTGCAGTGAAGCCAGATGGAGTGCCCCAGCTCTGTCGAACAGATGAAGTGGGTGAGCTCTGTGTGTGCGCTATTGCAACTGGTACATCTTATTATGGACTTTCTGGAATGACCAAAAACACGTTTGAGGTGAGCTGGAGTGAAACAAGCCTGTTAGTTTCTTAGCCCTTCAAGTTTAAAAATAATAATAATATGAATTAAAACTGATGCAAAAAAAAGCAAAGCTTGCTGCTTATATACCACTCTGTAGCACTAAAAGCAGTGGTCCCCAACCTTGGGCCTCCAGATGTTCTTGGACTACAACTCCCAGAGGCCTTCACCACCACCTCTGCTCTCCAGGATTTCTGGGAGTTGAAGTCCAAGAACATCTGGAGGCCCACAGTTGGGAACCACTGACTTAAAGCACTCCCTGGGTGGTTTAAAATCTAATTATGTAGGCCAGGGGTTCCCAACCTTGGCCCTCCAGATGTTCTTGGGCTTAAACTCCCGGAAATCCTGGCCAGCAGAGGTGGTGGTGAAAAGGCTTCTGGGAGTTATAGTCCAAGAACATCTGGAGGCCCAAGGTTGGGGACCGGTGATGTAGGCTACGCATTGCCCCTCCCCTCCTCCCAGTAAGCTGGGTACTCAATTTACCAATCATGGAAGTATGGAAGGCTGGATTAATCCTGAGCAAGGTACCTGAGCCTGTTGGGACTGAACTCAGGTTGTTAGCAGAGTTTTGACGGCAGCACTGCAGTTTAACCATTGCAACACAAGGCAGAAGAGGCGTCTATTCATATTTGTCATTATGGGCTAATATAGCTGCTTTATACTGAATCACGTCACATACATCCAGCTCAGTATTGTCTCTTCCGACTTGCAGCAAAACTCTAGGGTGTCCAGTAGCGAAAACTTCTTCAAAGCTTCATAATCCTTTACGCTCTGCTGGAAAGTATTTATTAGGAGCAAAGGGATAAACCTGCTGCAGTCTAAACCTGCACTTTTATCTGAGTGTGAGTAGAGGTGTTTTTATAATATGTATTAGTGGGCACATGCAGAGCTCATGCGCATCTTGTTGGATGGGCTCTGGATTGTCCCATTGGCAGAATTTGAATGCAGATCTGGAGCATTTATCTTGCTGAAGTAAAGCATGTCATGCAATGTGAGGTTTCTGAATGAAAGATTTTTCAGGAGCAATATGGAGGAAAGCCTTCCACAAGAAAATCAGGAAATGAGGGATAGGTAGGTAGGTAGGGTATACATATAAGGCATGTGTACACACATATAACGAAACCCTCTCTTCCACAAGAAAATCAGGAAACGAGGGATAGGTTGGTAGGTAGGGTATACATGCTGTATAATGCATGTGTACACACATATAACGAAACCCTCATTTCTGGTACTGTTCTAGTATTTTGTACTTTCCTATGTCCCTTAGTATGGCTTGAAGGTAAAACCTAAGAGGCTAAGTGTTAAGTCCAAATAGGTCACCTCTGGTGTAGCAGGAAAAACAGAGTAGCCTTGAGTTCTCAGTACTCCACCCTGGCCTTAGCAGAAGGACAGTCCTAGAACACTCTTAGTTTAGGATCTTCCCATCAATGCAGCATATCCCTAATCATCCCTTATTTAACTCCCATGATTTGTACTCAGAGTTCCCTCTAAGGTGCGTGCCGGTGCGTGCGCACGACTCTACCCCCTCCGCACAGCATGCCTCCTCCTCTGCACACCGCTCATGTGCGTGCCGGTGCGTGTGCACGACTCTACCCGCACAGCATGCCTCCTCCTCTGCACACCGACAGCATCGTTTTCAGCCCCTTTGGTTCCAGTTGCAAGGGAACCCTGCGTAGAGGGAACCTTGTTTGTACTCCACTCTTACTTCTAAGTAGTGATTGTCAATTGCTCTCCCCCGCCCCCACTGTTTGTTTTAGCTTAGTACTTCTATCCAGATCTGGAAATAGGTTTTATCCCACATTTCCAATTCAGGTGGAGGCCTTCTGCACGGAGCCAAAGCCAGCTGAGATTCCAGAACCAAAGCTAGAACATCAAATAGAGCGTGTTGCCTCCCGGCAATGCTGTGGCTTGTTCCTGTCTTATGGGAAAGTTGTTTCTTTCCTGCAGTGTATTCCAAAATATGCTCTATCCGTCAGATGTCATCTAAGACACACTGCTGGGATCCGGTCAGCAATTCAACATTTAAGGATTCAGTTTACCAACTATGTTATTAAAAACACAACACAACCCTGGTTTATGGGGACATCAGGGTAAATATCTGTCACTATTCCTCAGAGGTAGGTGGCAGATAAGAAGCATAGCAATTCTCCTGCAATGATTCTCGGTTGCATGTATTTCCTGGAGCATGCTGTAAACGCTCAATAAATGTTCCATGTATGGCGTGAAAATTTAAGCGCTACCTATTTTTGCTCTTCTGCAGGTGTTCCCCATGACCAGTTCAGGCGCGCCAATAAGTGAATATCCATTTATAAGAACTGGCCTGCTTGGCTTTATTGGTCCAGGTGGACTTGTGTTTGTCGTTGGCAAAATGGACGGCCTCATGGTTGTCAGTGGACGAAGGCACAACGCAGATGACATTGTCGCCACAGCATTGGCAGTGGAACCAATGAAGTTTGTCTACAGGGGGAGGTTTGTATTATTCTTGTTCTCTGTCATCCACCGAGGGGAAAAACAATAGGATTGAAGCAGAGTACTGCTCCAGACAGAATTTTAAATACTCTAGTGTTCTGAATTCCAAGCAGATGATGCATTAATATGCTAGGAGGCATTTCCCGAACTGCTTGTTCATTGTGAGTCAACGCGTAGCAATTGCCCATCCCTTATCCAATGAATACAATGCACTTCTCCCTTTAACAAAACTGGGGTGGGATGCTGGACTCCCGTGTAATTCAGCATCCATATAAAACTCTTACACACACACATCGAAATGTAACTACAAAGTACAAAAAGCTGATTCACACACACACACACACACACGCACACACACACACACAGAGAGAGAGAGAGAGAGAGAGAGAGAACAGTTCTCTCTATTGGGGTTTTCTTCCATAGCGTGGGCAATCTTTTCCACATGGGATAATGTGTAAAATGAGCCTTAAAGGACTTTATGACCCCCCTGATCTAGAGGCTGAATTAGAGATGTTGTGTCTGGGGGCAAGCAAACCACTTTGACACCTTTGGTGTTGACCTCATGGGGTTCTGGGTGGCCAGGGGCACAGTATTTATTTATTTATTTAGGTATTTATTTATTTATTTTTTAAAAAATCCGTGTCTAACCCAAACCATGCTATTCAGACCTGTGCAATTCAACAGTGAGGTGTAATTTAGATAGTAGTGACCTTTACACAGTTCCAAAAGTCACTACTCTGCCTCTCTTAGTGAGTTCTGACCCTAGAGAGTGCAGGGCATCTTCTACAGTGTCTTCTGTGCCATTCTCTGGAAAACTGGAATAAGCTAGGTTTTGTAATAGCTGTCCTCCAGCCATGCAGTGCTCTGTTTTAAAAGTGTGTAGGTGTTCACTGCAGCTGTCATTTTCTAAATGAAAAAAAGAGAAGGTGCTCCAGTTGTCACTGTTGTGTAGCTAAAAAGTGATGTGTCTCAGAGGATAATGAAATCCAGCTTTTCTCTACATTTGATATTCTTACTCATCCAACTTGTCTTGGTTTATGCATCCCACAGAATAGCAGTGTTTTCAGTGAGTGTCCTTCATGATGAGAGGATAGTTATTGTGGCTGAGCAGAGGCCAGACTCTACAGAAGAAGACAGCTTTCAGTGGATGAGCAGAGTGCTGCAGGTATATATTTTTTTTTTGCAAAAATGGTATCCAGCAGGATCAAATGGAAAATGTGGATGGCCGGGTGTTTCACCTCTTTCTGGAAATATTAATCGAAATGCCATTCACTACAGAGTTGAACCGACCACAAACAAAACAGACTGTCAGTCTTATGCCTACCAGTTTATCCTGCTTTGGGGGCTAATCTGAGCAATTTGAGATGAAGGACAGGAGAGTGTAATGTAATGATTGTAGAACTAGCAACATGGATGAAGTTTCACGAAATGCCAGACAAACTTGCAATCTGTAATTCAGTGGTGGAAAAGGATAGACGTAGAGATAGAAGTAGGTCAGTCCTTATCATTTGGCAAAAGGTGCCGGCTACCAAGTTGGTGGATGCTGTTGGTCAGTGAGCAAGCTATGTGTGTCATACATTCTCCTCTATACATCCTAAACTAGAAAGGTCCTTTCAGATACATTGGAGCACATAGTCCTATCACCAGGCTGGTCAGCATTTGTACGTAGAAATAGAAGTGGGAGCACCGTCTTTCCCTAAAAATTCACTTCAGATCGCAAAATATCTTCGACCAACCCAGACTCCTGGGTAAATGGGCAACAATAGGCATTAATTTCAGTTACACAAACTTTGGTTTATTTATGATGTGGTATGGAGTCTAAGGCATGGTCTAGAAGGTTCCCCGAAAAGCCAGGTTTTTAGGAGATATTTAAAGTAAGCCGTATTCAGACGTCAGTGCAGCAAAAGAATTAACAATTCCCCTATGAATTGTTTGCCACTAGTGTTTTGCTTTGCCTTGCCTTGCCAGGCTGTGCATTTAGCTCATGGCTACTGTAGTTCCATTTGGAAGGAAGCTGCTTAAATGATCATTCAAGCACGTTTGTTCTCTTGCTAAATAATGCCTGAGGGTTTCTTTCCACATGGCCACACTTGCCTATGACGTGTTGTATTCACTTGCTTCCCAACCCATGTAATTGCAGCAAAGCAAATACTTATGCATCCTGTGCCCATATTATATTTTTGAAAAACACCAGGAATGATGGATGTATTGTTCCATTTGGTGTTCGAGTCCTACTATGGAAGTCTGTATAGTTATTCCTCTTCCAGTCTCGCTGTTTAAAAAGTTATTTTCACCATTGCGTGAAAAAAAGGCTCTTTCCAGTGAAGGACCACTTCTTCCATGCTTTTGAAGAAATGGGCTCTAGTTCACAAAATCTTCATCTGTGATGAAAAGATTATACTTTTTTCTTGCTTGTTTGACCACTCCCACAAGATTAGCAATGTATTTGACTCTTTCACACTGTAACAAAGGACACTGCCCTGCAAAGTGTCTGGTTCAAACATCAGTGGTGTGGGATGCAATAAAGGACAGAGGGAAAGATCTGCTTTATGACAGACATATCCTCTCTTCCTCCTCTTTTTCCCCCCTGGCCACTTGGCCATGTGAAAATCATCTCCATGTAGTGGGGTGGGGAGAGAATCAAGAGTTACAGTCAGAGACAGCAGTGGGTGGCTTTTTGCCCTTTACTGTGTGTTGGGTTTAGTAGAGTCCACTAAAGCAACGGTATTTTAGAAGAATAAACCCCCCAAAAAAGCTCTTTTCTGTTCAACAAAACACTGTTTTCTCAGTTAGCTTGTGTGTGTGCATTTGTTTGTTTTGAATGGCTTAATTCTCTAGTCACTTTGATGCCTCCTGTTTAGTAGCAGAATTAATTCAACAGTGTGGAATTGAATCAGTGTTTGCAAAACTTACCTTGTTTGGAATTTATCTCTTGGACCCTCACTGATATCCACCCCAACAGCATGCTGTTACGTCTTTGAAAACAAACTTCAGGTTGCTCAAGTGAGATCACCACCTGTGCATCTTTGACTCTTAGAAAAGCTTTCCCAGACATTAGTGCAGGAGATAGAGTAGGGGATGGAGGAAGCGACGCTATTGATTACTTTCAGTTACACATGTCTCATAGTCCACTTGGCTGTAGAAAAGGTATCTGAAAGTCTTCTATTAAAATCTTGCAGGTAACCAAACTGCTATTTCCTGTGGGTCTTTGGCTTTTGAAATGGTTTTTTTAAATTTGTGTTTTAAATTGATTTTTGATAGTGTTTTCATTATGTGTCACTTTGGGTGCCCTGGAAGACAGAACCACAAACTCACAAATACTTTAAACAAATGAATTAAATAAATGGGAGAAATTCTGTTGCACAGTGGGAGTGATGTCAGCAGCAGTGACCAATTGTTGCTGATCAAAGGTTTTCAACCCGTAGGATCCCAACCATTGGTTAATAAAGACTAGCCAATTTTAAAAGTTTGAGGTGGAAGGATAAAATTAACTTTCGCCTTTTTGTTTTAACACCTTTTAGGCGATAGACAGTATACATCAAGTGGGTGTTTACTGCCTCGCGCTGGTGCCCGCAAACACACTCCCAAAGACACCTCTAGGTGGAATCCACTTATCAGAAACGAAACAGCTGTTCCTGGAAGGAGCATTGCATCCCTGTAATGTGCTGATGTGTCCACACACCTGTGTAACAAACCTGCCTAAACCAAGACAAAAACAGCCAGGTAAGCTTAATGGAGCCATAAATAATGTGATTTATTGAATGTTTTCACTGCCTGTAGAAGTGACTCATGAGTACTGCAGAAAGGATGTCATGATCACAAGATGCTTATTTGTTCATGGTTGTGTGGTTGCTACCTTTTTCACCAGTCAGTGGAGTGTGTTCTTTACCTGTAATGCATAAATATTCGAGAGATAATTGAATTTATCTTTCAAGAAAACAACTGCGATCCAGTGGGCCATACAAATCAGGGGTAATACTGTGTGGAGTTGCTGCGAAAGGACAGCCGGGCTCTTGTGGCTAAGGATTCATTAGTGCCTCTCCCAGAACCCTTGAGTTCAGATTCCAGAAAAACTAGCCTTGTTGAGGAGAAATTTCCTTCCTGTGACACCTAGTTATCTTGAATCATTTAATCTCCCCTGCTTCTCAAGTGCTAGGGAGCATTAGCTGAGTTTGATGATTGGAGGTAAAATCCCACTAACCGGTGGCATTAATGTGACCTATGGGGGAAAAACTTAAAGCTTTTGTAGTTGTCCTCTACTCATGTGATGGTGTAGGGAGGTTTGGGAATTCTCTAGAGTGAAAAGCTTGACTATTCTTCACATTGCGTGAGTTGACATAGCTAGGTTCCGGACTATCTGGAGCTATCCAGAAGTTTTGTATTGATTTGTGTTTTTTTTTCCCTTAGTCGTGGTGCTCTTTCACTTGGTATTTGCTTGCCAAATATGTGTCAGTGAGTAAGTTTCAGTCCGTCTCGTGTGCTTCTTAGATGGTATTTGTTAGGGCTGAGTGTTGTCCAGTTTGTCCAGCTCAGAGAACAAAAGTAGAGCCATTCCCTGGCACTATATCACTTGGTGAATCCCTTGGATTCATCATATTCTTTGGCTGCCTTCATCTTCATCGTCACAGTGTATGTTGCTGAATAATGGTACCTCCCTCAGGGTAGACTGAGGACAGAGACATACTCTGTGCTTATAATCTGGTATGAAATTGCAGCAACCCCTCCCGGAATCATTGTGACTCCCACTAATTGAACTCTTGTGCTTTGTCATGTGCCGTGTGTTGTTCTTAACCGAAGTTGTAGACTTTGCATCAGAGTGAGTGGGTGTCACCCCCAGATGGGAGGAGATGAATATCTGAATGTTGCATTTTATAATTTGTTCATGTGTGTGTTGGTTTTAAAGTCTGCTATTAATCCATTTCGTACACGTTCTAGAAATTGGCCCTGCCTCTGTGATGGTGGGGAATCTGGTCTCTGGAAAAAGAATTGCGCAGGCAAGTGGCAGAGACTTGGGGCAAATAGAAGATAACGATCAAGCCAGAAAGGTAACATGGCACATCTTCCCTGTTTATGATCAGGAGCTTCACAGAACATTGCAACTGTACTTGTAGTATCTATTAGGCAGGGAGGGGCATGAACAAAAACTAGAATAGAAAATAGCTTTCATTTCATCTGTAGAGCTTGACATTTGCTTTTTTAAATGGTTGACGTTTGCTTTCAATACTTGTTGTAAATGCAGGTTTTACATATTTAATATAAATAGATTCTGAAATAAAGTCCCAGTCAACCTGGTGGAATGTCTATCTCATTCACGAGACGTATGCTGTTCCCTGGTTCAGGAACATCACATTGGAGTATCCTATATAAATGCACATTTTATCCTATTTAATTGTTTTTACAACTGGTGAAAGATGAATTGATGTTGCGGTCCCTAGGAATGGTCTAAAGGCATGGGAAGCATCGCACTTGCTGAAGCTAAGCACTTACTGGTCAGCACCTGGGTGGGTAACTCTAGGGAATCCTTTGTATACACCTTACGATTCCCCAGAGAAAATGCAGAAAAGAAATCTGAAATGGACAGACTCAATAAAAGAAGCAGTAGCTTTTAGTTTCCCAAGAACCGAGCTTAGCTTTTAGTGACAGTTTCTACTGGACATGATTCATATACAGTGGTGCCCCGCATAGCGACGATAATCTGTGCAGCAAAAATCGTCGCTATAAGGATTCTTCACTATGCGAAAAAAAAGCCCATAGGAATGCATTAAAACCCGTTTAATGCATTCCTATGGGCAAAAACTCACCTTAAAGCAAAAATCCTCCATACGGCGGCCATTTTCGCTGCCCGGTAAGCAAGGAATCCAGGCAAAAACACAGCGGGTGGCCATTTTATTTATCCGGTGGCCATTTTGGAACAGCCGACCAGCTGTTCTAAAAACATCGCTATGCGAAAATCGGTAAGCGAAACAGCTTACCGATCATCGCAAAGCGATTTTTTATCATTTAAATCATCGCAATGCAATCGCTTTTGCGATCGCAAAAAATCGCCGCTATGCGGATTTGTTGTTAAACGAAGCGCTCGTTAAGCAAGGCACCACTATAGGGTCACCCTAAATCAGAAGGAGCCTGATATACTGTAACAAATGTTAAAAACAAATGTTATGTTTAGTGCTCAGTTTTAAAATGCACTTCATAATCCCTAGAAATGCATTTAACTTGGAGCAACTTTTTGAATATATGTGTTTTTATTTTAAAATATTTATATGGTAACATTTCTTAAGTTTTTTTCACCCTCATAATAACATGATGTATGGATGCATAAAATTCACGGTAGTGTTTAGTGGTAAACAGTACAGCTTCTTATCTGTTATCCAATGGCCATGTCTGTCTTAATCAACTCAGTAAAACTTCTTAATTCATAGAATTGCAATGTATGTGTGCTACAAGATGGCAGATGGAGTATTTTTCCCCCCTCATACCTCTTTTCCATATTGTTTTCTCTCCAGTTCCTATTTCTTTCAGAAGTCTTACAGTGGAGGGCGCAAACGACTCCTGACCATGTGCTTTACACATTACTAAATTGTAGGGTAAGTCTATGCAGAATTTATTTACATTATGAAGATTTATTTTTTACACACTTGGCCCTTGAAGGCAGTTCCACTTAATGCAATAATTTGGTGGAAACACTTAAGTAGTAGATAAATATTCCAAAATTAACTGTCCTACAAAGAGGGGAGGTCATCTACATTACCTGCAAAATGCTGAAACTTCTGGAAATCTTCATGAGAATAGGGTTCTTTTCTATGGAGCTTTAATTAGGAGTATCTTTTTTTTCTTACACATGTGAAATTTATACATGGGCAGTATTGCTTACAATATAGTTAATACATGATTTCTGTGTACATAATTTGTGTTTAATATGATAGCTAAATCCTACTCTGTTTTTATATTGGTTTAACACAATTGGTGGACATTTCAGTTTGGAATTGCCGCAAGTTAAGATAATCACATAAACATTTCCTGTTCTGCAAAACCCAGGCACAGCAACAAATACAGATAATACACTTCCATTCTAGTGTGCAGGAAACCCATTCAGTGAGATGAACAGTTTATTATGGACTTATCTTTACGAGATGTGCTCCTGTTAAAGGATGAGTTTCCTCTTAATAATTACTGGGATATGTCTGTTACCTTTGTATATGATTTGAGACAATAAATGGCATTAGGAGCTTCAAAATGTGCAAAATTCCCTCAGTTAATTTTGCTTCTTTTTGTGGCTCCTCTGTTGAAATAAGTTTTTATTGTTTGTGGGAGGATCCTCTTGAGGTAGAAACAAGCTACAGTGGTGCCTCACTTAACAACAATAATCCATTCCAGGAAAATCGCCGTTAAGCTAAAACATCGTAAAACGAAATTAAAAACCCCACTGAAACGCATTGAAACCCATTCAATGCGTTCCAGTGGGGTAAAAACTCACAGTCCAGCGAAGATCCTCCATACGGCAGCCATTTTCTCTGCCTGTATAGCAAGGAGTCCGTCCCTAAACATAACGGGGAGTCATTTTAAGCACCCAGCGGCCATTTGAAACCGCCGATCAGCTGTTAAAAAAACATCGTTTTGCGAAGAATCGGTTCCCGAAGCAGGGAAACGATCATCGCAAAGCGAAAAAAAACCCTATTTAGACCATCGTTTTGATAGTCGTACAGCGATTTCGTCATAATGCGGGGCAATAGTTAAGCGAGGCGCCACTGTAGTTACTTCTAAGCTCTGTTCATAAGCATCACCAGGGGTTTCATTATCTTTGTGAGGAAGAGAGGTCCCCAGGGATAGCTACATTATGGTTGGCAGGTAAGACCCTGTTAATTCCGGCATTGCCTACCACAAGAAATGAAAATGATACAGTGGGGTCTTGACTTAAGAACGGCTTGAGTTAAGAACATTTTGACTTAAGAACCACTCTCATAGGAAAATATTGACTTGACTTACATACTTAGATTTGAGTTAAGAACTGAAAAAAACCCACGTGGGAGGCAGGAAAAGGGCAAAATTTGAACTTTCAGGTAACTGTTGGCCAGTGAAAAGGGTGCCTGTCTGCTTCCTCACTCCTCCCAGCGTTTAGAGAGTGGATTGGGAGTCTTCAGACTGCCTGGTACTGCCTGGACTGTATTTTCCCTGCCTTCCCTGAACCTTTGTTGACCTAAGGAAAAAAAAATATCCCCCTCTAGTGGTTGAAGGCGGAATAGCAGCTTCCCATTAATTTCTATGGACGGAAAAGAGCAGATACGGATCAAATGGTTTTCAATGCATTCCTATGGGAAATGCAGATTTGACCTGAGAACTTTTTGACTTGAGAACCGCCTTCCAATACGGATTAAGTTCTCAAGTCAAGACCCCACTGTAAAGTGACCGAGGGCTCCCAAGAACCAAGATCACCCCCACACAAAAAACTAAATCCAATTGTGAGTTGCAATGGACGCAAATGCATTGTGGTAATAGTTTATTATGCCAGTTAAAGCTTTTTGTGCGGGTATGACTTAGTCTCCCAAGAGCCTTGAGTAACATTATTTGTTTTACTTCCATTATTCCCTAGGAAGAGATACGATCACTTGCCTCATTGGGCACAACCTGCTGAGGGTTCCTAGTCTTTCTCTAGTATTTTCAGTGCAAGCTTCTGTTTTCTCCCCAGTCAGCCTTTTCACCCCTCTCTTAAAGCAATTCCTTTGCCAGCTGTCTTTCTTCCAATGCAAGAAAGAAACTTCCAGTGCAAGCTAATGAAGAGAGAAACTTCCAGGAACGCCCCTTTTTAGGCAGACCTCTTTTATTTTTCCAGATCGCTGTCTTAATATGCAGAGCCTGCATACTGAGCTGCTGCTAGAGAAAGCAACGCTTCCTCTGTCTTGACAATGAGCTGATTCGGATGAGTGATTCAGAGAATTCCATTAGCCCCTCTTAAACTGTTTTTGTAACATATACGGTATATTTATTCAGTCAGATACTATTCTGAAACTGAGGCTCCATCAGGGCTTGAAGCCTTCCCTTTCCTATTTCTCAAAAACAGTGAGGGAATGCTGTCCGTGGAGCCTCCATTAAGCTCCAGATTGTGTTATTTCAAGGGACTGTATAAAGAGTGTGGGCACTACCTAAGGTTATTTGGCTCGGACCTGGATAGCATGAGTGCTGGGATTCGTGGGAGTTACATTTTCCTATAGCTGCTAGAGGCCCTGAACAGTGCTATGTATTTAGGACCTTAGTAGAGGGTCCGCTGGAGATGGTATCATCTTCTGCTATCAAATAAACTTTGGTGGGAAAGAGGAGAAAGAAATAGCAAAATAGATACTTCAGTTGGGTGGACTATTATGAATTATGCCCAGTTAAGGGCTCATGTGTCCAGCGATTAATGGCTTGGCTAGAAGTCAACTTTTCATTTTTATTTTTATTTTTTTTTAATGCAATATCTCTGCTTTTTCCTCAACACAGGGTACAATAGCAAACTCTTTAACATGTGTTCAGCTGCATAAACGAGCTGAAAAGATAGCAGTTATGTTGATGGAAAGGGGACACTTACAAGATGGTGATCATGTTGCTTTAGTCTACCCACCAGGTAAAGAACATGGGTGTTTTCAGAGGATTTGTAAATGTTGTTGTAAATGGGACCTTCGGTTATAGGAGAATTGGGGGGGGGGGGGGGGGATGATTGTGGGTANTAGTTAAAAACTATGACCATATGGAATTTAAGAAGTTTAACTTAGCCTTGGCCATCTTTTCCTATTTGTATGTACGCAACTTTGTTATTACTAGAACTGTCTTGAGTTCAAAATAGCAGCCTAAACCAAACTTGCTTAATGCATCATGTTTTCAGAAGGTACTGCATGATAAGAGATCCTGAGACTGTGTTTACTACAGTTGTCTTGAATCTGTAAACAGAGCCAGAGAGACGGTTGCCCACTCCCCATAACTTATACATAAAGAAGGATGACAATCATATTTACCTTTCAGAGTCAAAATGTTTGCACATTATTTCTGTTATAGTGAGCTATGAGAATTACACAGCATAATCAATGCTATACATTAGCATTCCTCAGAAGGGGTCCCTCCAGATATATTGGACTCCAACTTGCGTTATAATTGGTTATGGAATTGTGGGAGTTATAGGTCAACACAGCTGAAGTGTCATCAGGTTGAGGAAGGTTACTGCATGCATGTTTTGAAGTAGATCCTAGGGAATTCAGTGGTGGTTATCCACAGCTAAAATGAGTAAAATATAACAACCTGAAAACTCATCAAGGTCCCAGTAAGAACCTTTTATACAACAGAAAGGTTGTGGGTTATTTTCATTGCAATTTGCAAATATTTTATTACACATGTTGTCTGAGCCATTGACTTTCAGGCTGCATGTGGTTCCATTTTTAAAGTTGATTTGTTTAGTTAAGGAGTCCTGAAATATATATATTTAAAATAATTTTAAATGTTTATATACTGGCTCGCTGGCATTGCCTCTGGGCCAATTTAAAGTGCCCTCAGGACACTTTACAAATGTTAAATAACTGAATAAAAAGGTAGTGCTGTAGTGTTTTTACTATATGTGCACTTTATTTTGTAGCGTATAGGTCAATAGTAGTTCAGATATTCTATTTTGAACATTAATATTCTAAGTAGACTATTTCTGTGCCACTCTGCAGTACAAATCTCTCAGAACTACATACCTGAAATAGAGGGAGGGTATGTAAAATTCACCGTAAATATCATAAAATGGTGGTGCTCTCAAAACCAATCAGCAAAATCTCAAAGAATGTGAAAAGCCTGGAATACATGGGCAAAATAACTCAAGCTAGAACAATCAAAAGTGGGCTTGTAGGCAAACTTTGCAGGAGAGGGCATTTCATATAGGAATGCCACCACTGCCCACCTAACTCCAAATAACACGGGGCCTAGTAGAGTATCTGACATCTTTAGTTCATCAATTTGTCCTTTTAAGGGCTTCCTCAACTATTTCGCTGTGTTAGAAAATTATCTTAAGTTAGTTGTTGCAGCTTAAAAATGCATTAAAAGGAAACGAAACAGTGCTTTGCTCAAGACTGGAACTACCAATTTAACCTTGCTAAAATTATCTTGTCTTATTATTTGACCTAACCTATTAGGTAGCTTTGTAAAGGTATAGTAATATATATATTAAAAAAAAAACAAACCTCTGCCCAACCTAGAACATCACCTTCTGTCCTTTTCCTTCGTCATGCAGGCATAGATCTGATTGCTGCATTTTACGGGTGCTTGTACGCAGGCTGCGTGCCAATAACAGTGCGACCTCCACATCCACAGAACATTGCGACAACGTTGCCTACTGTGAAGATGATTGTGGAGGTCAGCTGGCTATTCAAGATGATTATTAAATAGTGGCAGCCATCCGGTGAAGTATAAGGGTCCCTCCAAAAGCTTGGACGTTTCTGAAGGGATTGTGCTACTTCCTTTCCACCAACTTGCGAAAAAAAGCCCTCGCCTCCAACTGCCCCTATCATACGAGTACCACAAGTTGCTTTTGAAATGGCTTTTACTTTCAAAAGCTGTTCACAGTGCTATGTTGCAAAATATGAATAGTGAAGTGGGAAATAACTTCTACCCAACAAATGCAAACCCAGAGCCAGAGTTTTATCTGACCAGTTTCAGCTCAGAGCTTGGAAAAGATGCTACAACTCATCACGGCTGCTTGCTGTGCTGGCTCAGAGAGTGTGGGAACATTTATTTTATTTATTTATTTATTTAGAACTCATCACGGCTGCTCACTGTACTGGCTCTGGGAATACAAAAAAAAAGTAGCTTTTCTCAGGCTCCACTTCAAGGTGAACCACAAACATACCCTTACTTATTATTCATTTGTAACACATATATACTCCCAGGGCAAGCAAAGCAGCTTGCAGTTTGAAATATTGAATCCGGCAAAGTTACAGAAGCCAAAACAACAAAGCAACAGCAAGCTGATGGCATTAGTGATCTTGGCAATATTCTCCTTTTGTAAAAGTTGGCCATCTCAACAGAGTTTTCTCAGGTTCTTCCCTCAGCCTAGTCACAAGGAACAGGGTTTGGGGGAGGGCAGGGATAACTTTGATGAGCCTTGTGTACCACCTTGTGTTTTTTGGAGGATGGGTGCAATAAGAAACGTGATGCGTAGGTTCAAGCTGCCTTGGACATGTGGAGCTATTTGCATACCTTTTTCCTGATCTGTCCATAATGGAGATCAATAAAATCCTAAAATTCAAATATCTGGAATGACTGTACCTTTAAACATGCACTAGTTTTTCACAGTTTCTCTCTGTGAGTGTCCCCACTTTGTAATTAAAGAAGCATTTTACAGCAGTCAGTAAGCTTTAAATACCTACTTTCCCATAACATAGACTGATTTGTATGTAAGGCACTGTCTAATTTACTCCTCCTGTGCTTTTCTTTGCTAAATCTTCCAGGTGAGTCGGTCTGCCTGCTTAATGACAACGCAGTTAATATGTAAATTGTTACGGTCGCGAGAGGCAGGAGCAGCTGTGGATGTCAGAACGTGGCCCCCTATATTAGACACAGGTATACAGTATTTGCTTTCCCCTGATCATCTCTTTGCAAAGCGTTATTGCCTTCTGCAGGTTCTGCAAGAATCATTCTTTCGTTTTTTCCCCTCCAGATGATTTGCCAAAGAAGCGGCCTCCTCAGATCTACAAACCTTCTAACCCTGACACCCTGGCTTATCTTGATTTCAGTGTATCCACAACTGGAATGCTAGCAGGGGTGAAGGTAGGGGTTTGACACCCAGATTTAGTGCTGCCATGAGAAATACATCATGTGTTTTGGGCAGGCGATGTGGAATGCTGCAGTACAGCGATAGGGAATAGGTGTTGTCTTCCAGATATTATTGAACTGCACCTCCCATTAACCCTTGTCAGCCCTCACCTCCCATCAGCCCTTACCATGGCCTGTGTTACAGAGTTCTAGATCCTTTCCTGTCACAAGAACAAGGTGCTGCCATTTTTAAAAATTCCATCTTCTCAGATGGTGAAGTGTTTTCTTTCAGTGTTGACAAGAGCTTTCATTTTAATGAAAAGGACATTAGTGGAAATTACACAAGTTGGCAATTGTGCAAAATTGCAAGATCTGCTTGCTCTCTTTGCACAAACCTCTGAAAGTTTAGAAACATTAAGAGGGGGTGTTTAGATTTTGACCCATCTGCCAGGGCTTCTATAGTGGCTGTGTGTGAATGTACCTGGTGACACAAACAGAAAAGACACTTGTTTTGTGAAGAGATCTTATGAGCAAATGGCGGAAATGTCCGTGAAAAAACACACTTCTTTGTCTTTTTGCTAAAGGCAAAAAAATCTCACAGGCCTATGTATGTCAGCAATTTTTACATTGTTTTAAATTTGGGGGAGGGGAGAGAGTGTCCCTTTGGTTAAGAATGAATAAATTTCCAAAAACTTTTAACATCCCTGACTAAAGCTGAGGGAAGTTGCCTCCCAAAAATTGTGTTTTTTTGTGTGATGTGTGAGTAGATGAATAATGAGCTAGGACTGCTATTTGTCATTTAGGTCAATGTAAGTGCACTTTTGTGTGATGTATGAGCAGATGAATAATGAGCTAGGACTTCTATACTCAGAGTCCTATTTGTCATTTAGGTCAATGTAAGTGCACAGATGTAAAATGCAGATGTGAATTGCTGCTAATTAATGGGTAGCCAGTTGTGTTCCTTGCCTGCACAAAATCCTGGTTGGTGCACAGTGAGGATACAAATGGTGACTTGTTAACAAGTAGCAATTTGCTGCTGCCATTTATGCTGTTGCATTTAATGTCGGTGTAAATGACCAACAGGATTCTGTATAAAAATAGTAGATCAATTCCATCACAACTTAAACATTAGAGGATCAAATATAAAATGGTGTATGTCTGGAGTTTTGGACCTGAACATATTCCATTCTGCAGGAAAGCAGCTATATGCTTATGGCCCATGAGGAAGAGTCATGCCTCTAGCTAAGACATGCCTTTACCAACAGTGGGTCCTGGATCTCGTTAGATGACAAGTCCCACCATCTCTAGACAACACAGCCAGTTGCTGGGAATGATGGGAGTTGGTTCCCTAGGTGTAGGTGATCCTCAAAGTTGGGAAAGGCAGTTGTAGCCCCTCTTCTTATCCCTTGGTGGCCATCCCATTGGTAGAGGCTCCCAAGGGTCTGGATGGAGCAGTTCACCGAGGTGTGCCATGCTGTCTTTTAGTTGCCAGGAAGATTCTGCTATCAAAGCTTATACTCTAGCACTAAGCTGAAACCATTCCCTCTGGCAAGGCCTCCTTAATTAGTTTCTTTAAAGCATCTCCTTCGGTGTTATATTTAATTTCTAACAATTCTTGGTGATTACCTAGAAATCAAAGGCACTGATGAGTCACTTTGTTTTTCCTTTGTTTCCTCTTCCTGTCTTACTGATAATAACCCTTGGGAAACGTATTAATTTTCATTATATATAAACCATTCTCGGTGTGTGTTTTTGCAGTGAGGTGGGTGCTTATTTTTAATCCATCCTTTCACTGACTGCAGTTCTGGCAGACATTCAGAAGCAAAACCTCCTGATCACTATAGTTCATCATCTTAATGACTGCCCCATTATCTTCTTCCAGATGTCTCATGCAGCCACGAGTGCCTTCTGTCGTTCTATTAAGCTACAGTGTGAGCTTTATCCTTCTAGAGAAGTTGCTATCTGTTTGGACCCTTACTGTGGACTTGGGTTTGTCCTTTGGTGCCTCTGTAGGTAAGTTTCTCTTTCCAGGCTGTGATCGAACATGTCTTTTTGGTCGTTCAAGTATCATTTCTGCTGAAACATGCCTGAAAGTGTGAGCATGTGAACTTACCACAGAGGAAAAAGACACAGGCTGAGAACCAACCAGTTCCTAAAGGATGTGATAACAAGTGTTTCAGAGAAAACAGGGTGAATTAGAGGCTCTAGAAGAAACTGGGTGGTTTTGATTTCAACATGTTCACTCAGTGTCTTCTTCCTGTCTTGTGGGCGTTAAGGGAGTGGGGCAGCAGCATCTGTGACCCCTCCATTTCATCTAGTTCCCAGGATCTCTCCCGGGGCTACTGAATTCTCTTTTGATATGGCTGTATTAAAGAGGAGTGATTTGTCTCCTCCTCCTCCTGCTTCACGAGGTCTTTGAAATAACGGGAAACATTCAAAAATGTGGAAAGAGATGAGAGATCTGGCAGCTACAGAGTTGGAAAATAGGAGCTCTGTTCTGTTTTCCTGATGAATGTCTGCAGTAGGAGGGAGGCAGACGTTTGATGGAAAACTTCAGTACTGCCTAAAAATATTTCATAAAAAGAGAAGAAATCAATTGAATAATTACACCCATTGGTTTTAGAACCTAAAATTTAACTTTTGCAGCCCGAGAAATTTCAACCAGTTCACACCAGTAGTGTGAAAGACTTGCTACTTCAGAAAGATTGAACCGCCTCTGTCAGCTACATATTAGTGTCTTTTTTCAAAGGCTCTGAGAATAACGTAAAGAATATCTCCCACCCCATCACAATGTGTCCATGCTTTGTACAACTAGCATGGAGGGAACCCTGTGTGCTTTGTTTCACATCTTTGTGACTGCTATGAAAATAGCAACAAAGGCTTCTTTGTTGTGGAGAGAGACTGTTTGTAAGGAAACTTTCTCCCAGCTTCTTATGCACAGAGAATGCAGGGGCGTGTTAGTTGCTGATTATCTCAAATCATTCATTAATCAGTATTCAGTTCTGAAACAATGCCAAACTTGGTACTATTCTGCCTGTTCAAACTGTCCAAGATAACACAGTATACTTCTCTGTTATGTATGCAAAGATGATATAAACATGAGCTCATCTACTCCAGGAGCTCTTTCCGTCTTTCACCCCACCATACTCTTTACCCTACCCACTTTTCAGCTCTCTTAAGCCTCTTAGTAACCTTTTGCTCATGAAACACATCTAAAGTAAACTTAAATTTGTGTTAACATCAGACACTCAGGCATTGCTGCTTTATATGGTTTTGGTATTGGTGCCTCAGTGTTTCTACAAGAGTGGAGGGAGTGACTGAACCCCATCCTATCTGAGGTTTCAATCTAGGCACAAGCAGCAAAAGAAAAAGACGAACAAAGAAAAAAAAAACCTTAACAATTTATCCATGTTGTAGATGCTATGAAGTTATGCTGGCCTGCTCCACCGTGATGTCCCAGAATGCAACATTCTGAGACTTCCGAACCATTAAGGGAAACCTCCCTGGAGCATGGAGCCGGCCTCTTGGTGAGTCTCGAGTGTATTGCGTGTTTTTTGCAAAGTTTTGTTGTTTTATTTTATGTCCCAAAGGGTATAAAATAATAATGAAAAGAAACCTTGCAAAGCAGAGCAATAGACCTCTTGTCGAACATTCTCTTCGTTCCTATCAATTGGCCACGTGCTCCAGCAAGATTCCCTTGGGATCTTTGTCAAAGACTGATGCATTCTCGGCGCAACAACAGTCAGGCCAGCGTGAGTTCACTGACGCTTGTCTCCTCAATGAGTAAATGCTGGGTTCCATTGTGATGTGATAATCTCTTAATAATTTCATTTAAGTAGCTGCTAAATGTATTCATGAAGGCTTTCACGGCCGGGATCTAATGGTTGTTGTGGGTTTTTTTGGCCGTGTTCTGAAGGTTGTTCTTCCTAACGTTTCGCCAGTCTCTCTTCAGAGGGCAGCACTCCAACTGAGCTCCAACCAAGACAGACCAGAGCACAGAGTGCTGTCCTCTGAAGATGCCGGCCTCAGAGGCTGGCGAAACGATAGGAAGAACAACCGTCAGAACACGGCCAAAGTGCCCGAAAAACCCACAACAACCAGCTGCTAAATTCTTTTTGTTTTGAGTCCTCTAAAATGACTTGAATATGTTATGCTGCCTTCAGAGAGTCTCACCAGGCACTGATTTAGATGTGTTTCTTGCAACAGGTGAACGTCTTTTTACCCAATCCAGTCGTCAGTTATTTTAGCTCTATTCCATTGTTGAGGTTTAGCTTATTTCAATTTCAAAACTGGATGGATGCTGCTGCTTTACTTTACCCTGTTGTTCTTTGTCATGTCTTAGCAGTGTTCCGCTATTCTCAAACAGCCTTTGTACTCAAGAGTGAGGAATAAATGTTTATTATACAGTATATGTCTTTTATTTGTTTGTTTACTTGACTGGAAAGTAAATGTTCCAGTGGTAAGCCTGTCTCCTAAATTTGAATGAACCTACAAAAATGAGCATTGTCACTACAGGAGAGAAGGGTTTTAAACTCAGTGGCAGAGCACATGCTTTGTACACAAGAGGTCCCAGATTCAGTGTCTGGATGTCCAGGTAGGGCTGGCAAAGAACTCTTTACCTACCTGGAGGGCAATCGCTACACAGTGAAAACAACTCTGAATCCAATTGATCAGTGACTCACTCTGTATAAGAGTTTCCCATATAAGAGAGTTTCCCATCTTTCTGTATAAGAGAGTTTCCCATCTTCTTAACATGTAGAGCATTCTTGGGGGACCTTTGTTGTCCAGATGTTGACAACTTTCTGATCCCACCATCCCTCCCCATTGGCTAAATGCCTCGGTCGGATGGGAATAAGAGTTCACTTGGGGGACCAGAGCCTTCCCTGCCCAGATTTAGAGGCCTTGGTCTTACCCAGTCACTACCTTCTGTTTCCTTTCTACCTGAACTCCGTTCTGGTCACCCAGGGTCAATTTACCTTATGAACGTAACATCCTGTTGACAAGAAAGGTTTGTCCTGTCAGACATGTGTGCAGTTTGGTTATTCATATACTTGCAGCTCACAGCTGAACTCAACTGAATGAATCAGCCCAGATCCTATTGAATTTTTCTGCAAAGATAACACAAATTGGTGTCAACCACAGCAGCAAATTGCTGCAAGTTAAGAAGTGAGCCTAGGCATTCACTGTTGTGCAGATTTTGGGCTAGGTTAAGGCAAGGTGATTTGAAGCTGGCTCTGTCATACCTCAAGTATGGTGGGTCATTTATTCTACTGTGTATGTGGTCATCAAGTATTGTGTGTATAGGGAGGAGGGGAAGGGAATGAGATCCTGTAGTAAAAAGTACTACCGGTAAGTTAGATTGGAGCAAAGGAAGGTGATTGGATGTAAGGCAGGCATACAAGTATTTGTTGTGCAGGCCTAGTAATGAGTAAAAGTAGCTCCCCAGAACCTCAAAGAGAGAACCTTTCCATCGCTTGTAATTAAAATAGGAAATAGTGGGAATTGGATCTGGGACTATCTCTCCTCAGAAGGTGCTCTGTCACTGAGGTGCAGTTCCTCTTGTAAAGCCACCTCTTGATTATCAGAGTTACCACATAAGAAATTCGGCAAAAGGGACCGATAGCTTACTTGAGCTGTCTGCTTAAACCCACGCCTTAGATATGTGGAAGTTGCTCAGTCAGGAGGTAGCCATTGATGGCAGCAGCAATCAAGCACAAGTGTCACTGAAACTGCATAAAATAACTTCCTTTTTTCCATTTGCCACTTTCTGGTCTCACAAGATAGATTTCCAGGTGTGTGTTTTAACGAATCTTGTATCTTTGCAGCGTTTATTCGGGACACCAGTCTATTTTGATTCCTCCCTCAGAACTGGAGACCACGCCTGCTCTCTGGCTCCTGGCTGTGAGTCAGTACAAAGTGAGAGACACCTTCTGCTCCTATTCTGTCATGGAACTTTGTACAAAGGGTCTTGGTTCACAAACAGAATCTCTCAAGGTAAGGAAGTGAAGTGTTCTCTCTTCCGTTCTCCTTTCCCCTCACTTTTCCTTCTCCGTGTGTTATTCCGTTCTGTAGCACTATTGTGTCGCCTCCTGTTTGAGTCAGAATGCATTCATTGAAAAGAAATGAATCGGAGAGTAAGAGAAATCTCCAGCAGAGTCAGTGGAATCCCTCTTTCTAAAAAGCCTTTTCACTTGCTGTTCTTTGGTTATTTCCAGCAGGCAGGACCGCAACGTAAATTTGCACCGGGATGCTTACTTTTGCAGTTTATCATTTGCTATTCATATAAGCAGATTTTCTGTTGTTCACCATCTATTTTACCATATACCTCTGTGAGTTTATGTAGCCTGCAAGAGACCTGCTGAGAATGTGATCCCTCGGGTGGGGCAGAGTGAGTCTTACCTGTGAGGTGGGGAGAAAGGTGTAAAGATAGTGCTTCTAGCCAGGATCCAGCAAGGGTTTCTTTGAGTTGACCATAAGCAAGAACCTCATACCATGGCCTATCCTGATGTCTGTTATACGTCCAGATATAACAGAACTATAGACAGGAAAATGTGGCTTTTACCATGACAGTCCTATTTGCGGCCCTCTGTTTATCCCAGTTCCCACACTGAATAATGGAACAGGTGCTTCTATGGAGAGAGTTGTAGACCTGTCCACCCCAGAAGGTTTGCATGCTTCCTTCTTGTACACACATGCACACACTTATACAGTGGTGCCTCGCTTAATGGCAATAATCCGTTCCAGGAACATCGCCGTTAAGCGAAACATCGTAAAGTGAAAATAAAAAGCCAATTGAAATGCATTGAAAACCTTTCAATGCGTTCCAATGGGCTTAAAACTCATCGTCCAGCGAAGACCCTCCATACGGCGGCCATTTTCACAGCCTGTATAGCGAGGAATCCGGCCCTAAACACAACGGGGAGCCATTTTATTTACCCGGCAGCCATTTTGAAACCGCTGATCAGCTGTTGGAAAAAATCGTCATTTTGCGAAGGTTCGGTTCCCGAAGCAGGGAACCGATCATTGCAAAGAGAAATTCCCCCATTTAGACCATCATTTTGCCATCGCAATTGCGATTGCAAAAAGAGCATCGTAAAGCAGATTCATCGTAATGCGGGGCAATCGTAAAGTGAGGCACCACTGTAGTTTGGAGTCATTAAGCAGATCTTTCCTTTCTTTGAATGCAGTCCTTGACTGACAAAGATGACCAAGAGACTACTCCCACCATTTGGGATGTTGGAAATTACTCAAGATTTATCATTCGCCCATTCTGATTTTTTTTAACAACATGGGCCTCTATCCACTCTGGTGTAACTTGGTTCTTCCCTCACTCTGTACCTTGTAGGTCTTTTTCTTTTTCTTTCTTTTTACTCTTCCTTCTATAACCCATAACTAGCAGACCAGTTCTGCTGACAAGATTATTGTCAGATAGCAAAAGGACATCTCTGCCAGCAAGAGAGAGGTTTCTGCTAAATTCTAATGCACTACAGCCAATGTATCTTTTATTTATATTTATTTATTTGTTTGATTTGTATCTCGCCTATCTGGTCTATACAACCACTCTAGGAGTTAGGCGTGTAAAGGCCTCTGTCTTTTCTTTTAATCCCTGCTACTTTAAAAAAATATGTATAATTTGTTCTGCTGACATTTAGTAATTTTATTAGATTTGTTAACTATTTTATTTCACATTTCTATAGCTTTTTTAAAATAAAAAAATGTAAACCATCATGATCTTTGTTAAAGTACATAAGACAAGCACAGAGGTTCCACACAAAAAAGGTCTCTCATCAATCAGTTACTAAATAGTAGTTTATATCAGCAAACCTTTTGCAGTAGGCTTTTGGCATTCTTTAAACCTGATTACATGCAAAAAGGTAAGCAAGCCAACTAACTCCCCAATCAGGAAGGCAGGTGGTAATAGAGAAACGGTGCCAGATAAACTTTGAAATCAGGACAAGAAATATGGTCTTGGAGGAAAGGAGCTTGCAAGAAGGGTGTCAACTTAAATCCAAAATAGGAGCCATTCTGCAACTCATTCACCGTGCTGCTTGGAAAACTTTGCTTCTCCTCCCCCACCCATATCTCTCTCTTTCTCTCTCTCTCTCTCTCTCTCTCTCTCTCTCTCTCTCTCTCTCTCTCTGTGTTGCAGTGCCCTGTTGTTGAGCCCTAGAAAAGGGGGCAACTGTTCCAAGATCTTAACATTCTGGTAAACAAAAAGAAACTGAGGAGTCTGCTGGGGAGTGCTAGTTATGTGCAATGGGGATAATGGGTGGGGTTCCCGCCAAAAACAGAGCACTCAGCTCTAGAACATTCTGAGGCCTGGCTCTGTGCAGACACAAATCCAATTGTGTGATCCACAGAGACCACAATGGAGAATTGCAGCTTTGTTGTTGTTTAGTCATTAAGTCATGTCTGACTCTTCGTGACCCCATGGACCTCAGCACGCCAGGCCCTCCCGTCTTCCACTCACTGCCTCCTGGAGTTTGGTCAAATTCATGTCGGTAGCTCCGATGACACTGTCCAACCATCTCATCCTCTGTCGTCCCCTCTGCTCTTGCCTTCACACTTTCCTAACATCAAGGTCTTTCCAGGGAGTCTTCTCTTCCTATGAGATGGCCAAAGTATTGGAGCCTCAGCTTCAGGATATGTCCTTCCAGGGAGTTCTGCAGGCACTCTGTCCATCAAATCTGGTTCCTTAAATATGTTCTTCACTTCCACTGTGTATTCATAAGGGATTTTGTTTAGATCATACCTGACTAGCCCAGTGGTTTTTCCTACTTTCTCCAGTTTAAGCCTGAGTTTTGAAATAAGCTGATGATCAAAGCCACAATGAGCTCCAGGTCTTGTTTTTGCTGACTGTATAGAGCTTCTCCATCTCTAGCTGCAGAGAACATAATCAATCCAATTTTGGTATTGCCCATATGGTGATGTCCATGTGTACAGTCGCCTCTTGTGTTGTTGGAAAACATCTGGTTTGTGTTGACCAGCTTGTTCTCTTGACAAAACTCTATTAGCCTTTGCCCTGCTTCGTTTTGAACTCCAAGGCCAAACTTACCTGTTGTTCCTTTTATCTCTTGACTCCCTACTTTAGCATTCCTATCCCCTATAATGAGAAGAACATCTTTCTTTGGTGTCAGTTTTAGAAGGTGTTGTAAGTCTTCATAGAATTGGTCAATTTTAGCCTCTTCAGCATCGATGGTTGGTGCATAAACTTGGGTGACTGTGATGTTGAAAGGTCTGCCTTGGATTCGTATTGACATCATTCTATCATTTTTGAGATTGTATCCCATTACAGCTTTACCCACTCTTTTGTTGACTATGAGGGCCACTCCATTCTTTCTATGGGATTCTTGCCCACAATAGTAGATATAATAATCATCTGAATTGAATTTGCCCATTCCCGTCCATTTTAGTTCACTGATACCCAGGATGTCAATGTTTATTCTTGCCATCTCCTGTTTGACCACCTCCAGCTTCCCAAGGTTCATAGATCTTACATTCCAGGTTCCTATGCAGTATTTTTCTTTGCAGCATTGGACTTTCCTTTCACTTCCAGGCGCGTCCACAGCTGAGCGTCCTTTCGGCTTTGGCCCAACCACTTCATTAGCTCTGGAGCTACTTGCACTTGTCCTCCGCTCTTCCTCAGTAGCATGTTGAACGCCTTCCGACCTGAGGCACGCATCTTTCAGCGTCATATATTTTAGCCTTTTGTTTCTGTTCATGCAGTTTTCTTGGCAAAGATACTGGAGTGGCTTGCCAGTTCCTGCTCCAGGTGGATTGCGTTTAGTCAGAATCCTCCACTATGACGTATCCGTCTTGGATATCCCTGCATGGCATAGCCCATAGCTTCTCTGAATTACTCAAGACCCTTCACCACGACAAGGCAGCAATCCATGAAGGGAATTCTAGATCTAGATGCATTCTAAATAACTGCTTCTCTGAAATTCTTTCCCTTCTTGACAAGGCAGCAATCCGTGAATGGGAAATTGCAGCTACACTATGGTATACAGTATTTTAATTTAGCACATGTTGTTTGCTGATTAGATTTGCACCCTGTCAAAATGAAATTAGTGGTTCAGGTTACAGTTTAGGTTTATGTGATTGCATTTGGGAAGGCCTCAGAGTGGTGCACTCACTTGTCTGGTGCAGTTTTATGGACTGTATTTTTACAGACTGTATTCAAAGTGACTCTTTTTATTTACAAGCCTGCCCTGTTTTGTGGGTTCAGGGCAACTTTCAGCATTTTTGTCAGTATCCACAACCCAGTTTGAATGTTCAAAAAGACCAGGGATGAACACTTCCCCCTCTGTTCTGCTTCCTCATCTCATGACTTCTTCATGTTTACAGGGAAGTTATGCACAGAATAAGTAAGTGTGTTTAAAGGAGCATAATTGTTGAGCCCCTTGTGACTGGGAACGCTACCACATCAAGGTAAGCTTCCTGATCACAAGGAGCTTTATGACTGCCTTTTATCCATCCAAAGCTGTCATCTCTCCAGCACAGATCTTCGTGATTAACATAGGGATGTAGCAAATGAAAGGAACAAAGCTAAATTGTGAAGTCCCTGTTTCCTTCATCGTTCACAGCTCTTGAATGTCCAGATGAGTTTAGATGTGTCTCTAAATACCTCATAATTTTTAAGGATTAGTTTAAAGGAATCAAAGCAAACTTAAAATGATAAAATCCTAACCATTTTCTAAAGTTTAACATCATACTGTACTGAATACACTTGGTTTTGTTGGCTTGGAAGTTAAACCGGCTTTGGCCTGGTCTGTACTTGGATGGAAGACCCTTAGGGAAGACCAAGGATACATATGTAGGAAGAGAATGGAATCCTGGCTGGAACCTTGGATAACTTCTGCCACTGTGAGATGACACTGCTGGGCTATACAGGCCAATGATAACTCAGTATGAGGCAACTGTGACCCTATTATTGACTGTACTTATCACAATACAGACTTTGTTCTTTTACATTTCACATCCTTGCTCCAATTCAGAGTCCAGGCAGGGGAATAAATTATCTGAATAGGTTAGACCCATCACCCCATTTGATATTTCTTTTTCTGCTCAAATACAAACAATAACCTGACGAAACATCAATACTACTGGGATATAATTTGCATTTGCACTGTCTTTTCAGGCAAGGGGACTGGACCTCTCAAGAGTGCGGACATGTGTGGTTGTGGCAGAAGAACGGCCCAGAATAGCTCTAACACAGTCTTTCTCAAAGCTTTTTAAGGACCTGGGCCTACACCCCCGGGCTGTCAGCACATCGTTTGGCTGCAGAGTTAACCTGGCTATCTGTTTACAGGTGAGGCAGAATCTTCAGAACAGCACTGCTTGTAAGAGAACGGCTGTGTTTCACACAAGACAGCTTGGTTAACCAAATGCATGTAGCACTTAACGTTCCCTTTCCATATTGCAAGAAATATTCTCTCTTTTTTTCCTATGTTTTTGTTAATCAACCTTTTCCATAAAGCCTTCACATCACATTTAATAGCATTTATTCTGCCCTGGACTTGGGATGTGAAACAGCAAAATTAGAGTTACTAAATTTATAACTTCTGAAGTCGAACTTCTTAATGTGGTCATCGTTCTTCTCTCTAGTACATTACGTGTAATATCTCCAATTGATTTCTACTTATTTGTAGAATAGTGAGTGGATATGGACATGTGACTTACACATATAATATGAATAAATTGATTTAAAATCACTTTCATTTCTTTTATCACTTTGGTTGCCTGTATCAAAGATAGTTTAAATGTCTATATTGAAGGGCCATTTTTAAGGGTTTCTGGCTAAAAAATAGGTTTAACTAAACAATAGGGTTGTGGATTTTTTTTCTTTTTTTAACATCACTCCTGCTGGTTGATGTTGTGTGAGAGAAAGGCCATTTATAAAGAAAGTAATAAAGTCTCTGAATAAAATGTTCCCAGGGAGATTGGGAATGGAGGTCCAACACCATTTTCTAATGCTACCTTATGTCCAGCTTCTTTCATTTTCCCTTGTAACAGGGATTTCAATGTTTTGGAAGCTTTTCCTGTGCTTTATTGCTATTTATTTTAAGTTGTTCAGACTATATTGAATCTGTATCTGTTAGCTGTTGGTGGTGTTCTCCTTAAACGCTTTAAACATCACATTCCAGGCCCAAATAATTCAGGAAGAATATATGGTACAGTCTTTACCTCAGATAAATCACTTCAGAATGCATGTGGACCTCATAAAAGAATTATAATTATAAAGGAGTTTTGCATTCTTTATAAAGGATTTAATAGTGATCCATAGTGATCTAGAATTGAGTCTACTGTACCTGGTGCGGATGTTTTTTTTTCTTATCAAAGTTCTCATTAATTTGTGATCAAGATCTTTAATCCAGAGTCAAAAGCAAAGTGTTGGAGTTTGTAACATAGTGGAATATTTAGAGCGGGTCAGGATCATCTTTAACCCATGGGCTGTGAGTTTTCTATCTTTGCTTTAGCTGTGTTTTAAAACAGTACAATATTGTGCTGCCAAAAGAAGATCGAAACTAAGAAAGGGAACTAGAAAATACTGTAAATGCTACGTTGCTGGAGGCTAAGACCAAGGTCACCTGTAATGTTGCATTCCTAATTAGTATATATGAATCTGAGAGATGTTAAATGGAAGAGTATTGATAGGGGGAAATGGGTTCATTTGAAATGTAGAATTGGAGGAGAACCTTATGGGTGTTGTGTGAGAAAGACAAATACAGTATGTAGGTTCTAGATCAAATCAAGCCTGGACTCTCACTAGAAGCTCACACAACTAACATGAAATGATAGTACTTTGGACATACCATGAGATGGATTGATTCAGTAAAAGAAGTCTGGTTTCTGCAAGACATGAGCTGGGTTTTTAATTGGACCTATGATCTGACTTATTTACTAGAATCCTCTTGTGTAAAGTTTTATCAGTCATTAATTTTTTTATTCTCCCCCCCCTCCCAGGTTTAAGGTTCCCTTAGAATCTGTTTTGACCTGGGGAAAACATTTAGTGTATTGGGGCTGGGAGCCTTCAATGCCTTAAAATCGTCACCACCAATCCCTCCAGCAGCAGGACCATCAGCAGCAGATTTTGGACATTAAAGGCTCCCCCTGTGCTGATCACCTCAAGGGCTTCCCCAGATCAAAAGAGTCCCAAGGGAATCTCAAAACCTGCAGGGTGAGGGATGGAATAGACAGGAAACTTCTAATGTCTAGTAAAAGCCAGTGGCTGATGACATCATCCTCTTGCACAGGCATAATTTTATGTAAGAGGATTTTTGCCACTATAAGACAGCTCTCTATATTTTATTGTAACTAATCATCCTGATGTAGGAGCCTGGAAAAATTAGTGAGTGTTAGGGAATCCACCAAAGATAGAAATTCTGCTGGTTATTATTCAAATCATTCAGTATGTTCATATTTTAAATCTGCAAGATTTGTAACACTTGAGTCTGAAGTTGCACAGTTAATAGCCTGGCTCAGAGATTTCCTTTGCATAAACCTCATTTTCACTTAAAACAAATATTTCTATATTAATGAGCCTACCCACAATGTGAGAACACCAGTTGATGAGAAAATGCATTGTTCTAGCCATACCCACTGGGTATCCTTCCACTGAGGTAGATATTTCTGGCTGTAATTAGGTATTTTTTCTTGATACACTTCTGAATGCCTACTAGAACAGTTCCTTTCTCTGAGAGGCAATGACAAATAGGATGAATTAGCCTATTAATTGAAGTTGAAGACTTTTTACTATGGAAACAATATTGCTATTGTGGCAAAACTGTATTGCACATCACGATTCTCTGCAGAAGTAGTTCATGGCTGAAGGAAGGAATGAGACTGTTGTGGCATACTGCCCCATGCACTGCAAAGAACATCTTACATCTGTCACAGTGTAGATGTACCACCAGCTACTGCTCCCTTCTAACAGTCTCTTTCAAAAATGATTGATGCCCAGAATGCTGTGTAAATCAAAGAAGGTAGATTTTTTAAAAAAGTTGTAGGTTACCGTCATTATCCCAGAGCTAAGTGTGTCATGCATGTTAAATGTTGTTCATCAACTTGAGTGCTTGTACATGGATAGATCTCCAGATGTGTAGGATGCTACATTTACCCTCTTATACCTCCAGTTAGTAGCAGAGTCTGCAAAAGTTACTTCTTTGGAATACAGCTCCAAGAATCAAATAACCAGCATGGTCAGTTATTAGAGAAACAAGGTCTCTTAAGTTCTGGTTTCTTAAGAGCAAGGATAGGACAGACATCTGCTTGTAATGCTAGATGTTCTGCCAGCCCCAACAGAGAACTGTTGGCTACATGGACCAGTGATCTTCCTCAGTGTAAGGTGGAGCTATTGCAACCAACAACCTTACTCCCTATACACCTGTGCCAAACCTCTGGTTTCTCCACTGAGGAGACACGACTTACAAATATGAAACGTATTCAGATGAATTGTCCATGTATGTGTCAGCTTTGCATCTTGGAAAACAGAATGTGGCCATTCTTTGATAAGCGTACATGTTTGATAGACATAATGGTGAAGAAGAAGAGGTAAAAAAGAAACATAAAGTTAGACAGGTACTTTGAGCGAATTATAGAATTACATCGCTTATATTATCAAAAGCCATTCCTTACAGCCTTTCATGCTGGTCACTACAAGTAAAATATACGTGTGCATGTTTTTGTGTATGTTGTGTAGGAGGGTGGGCTTAAGTCTTTTACCTAGAGCTTCCCTTTTCTGAATGAGTTGGGTCACCTGATCTTCTTTGTGAAAAATAATACAAAGCTAGGATATTACCACCTCCTCCTCCTCCTCATTCCTTTCCTGCTGGAGACTGAGCAACATGATAGTTATTCTGACATTGCAAGAGGTAGTGCAAGAAAGTTACATTGTGCTGTATCCAAACTACTCACTAAAGTTTTTCAGCGAAGAGAAATAGTATATGTTGTTGTTTGTTTACTGGCAAACAATGGAGATATAAGAAAGTGATTTTGTACTATTAGCACAAGTTGGTTAGATTACTTAAATGTTGTAATATTTCAATTATTTTTAAATTTCTCTATCTCCTGTGATTCCTTGTAAGTTATTTATTTCAGTCAGATCATTAGTAAGCAGATAAGTTTTCCGAAAGGTATAATTCCCAGTATTATCAGTCTCACCTGTAATGTGTGCATTTCAAGAATATACTGGGACACAACTTTGCTTTATATAAAGAGCTAGCCACAGAAGTCCAGTCCCTTTCAGCTTCATATACATTGGCTGCCTAATTATTTATAGCCAAGACACTGTGGGGGATGTGGTGGCACTTCGGTGCAAGGTCAGAAGACCAGCCATTGCAAGATCAAATCCCCGCAATGGAGTGAGCTCCCGTCGCTTGTCCCAGCTCCTAGCAGTTCGAAAGCATGCAAATGCGAGTAGATAAATAGTTATCACCACAGAAGAAAGGTCACGGCGTTCCGTGTCTAGTCGCGCTAGCCACATGACCACGGAAACTGTCTTCGGACAAATGCTGGCTCTATGGCTTGGAAACAGGGATGAGCACCGCCCCCTAGAGTCGGACATGATTGGACTAAATGTCCAGGGGAACCTTTACCTTTACCTAAGATAAGGTGACTGATGTGTGGCTCAATGAATCAGAGAATTTTAAAGGTTTTGCTGCCTTTTTATCTATATTCTTGTGTTATTCTGTGCTGTGAAGTTGGAACTGACTTATAACAACCCTAGTAGGGCTTTCAAGGTAAGTGAGATATTTGTGTGGTTTTACCACTCCCCCCCCCAGTGAGCTCCCATGGCTGAGTGAAGATTCAGATCCAGACTGCCTGAGCCCTAATCCATCATGCTATCCACTACACCACACAGGGTATCCTTTATCTATATGCAGGCTTCCATTTCAGATTTGTAGGAGTGAACAGAAGGCAGGGAGGGGACCAGCTATAAGGGATTGAGACTTACCCCATTTAACACAGTGGGGATTTGCTTCTGATTATAAATGTCTAGGATAACCCAATGTGATACAGTAGACAGAGTGAATAAACAGCAACTTCTTAAATATCTTGCTTACCTTGAAAATCCTATTAAGGTCACTGTACATCAATTCCAACTTGGTGGCACAGAAGACTCATAGAAATGTCTAGACATTAAAACTGAAATACACCAGACTGGTCTGCCACAAGCTAGCTGGCCATATTATGATGAAGCAGTGAACAGCGAGTTGACTCAGGCTGTGCTTCCATCAACCATGTGAATCAGATATTCCTAGCTTTTGCCACCTGCTGATGACCTAAAGGTGAGGACATGCTGTAACCATGAGTACAGTATTTTGCAAAATACAATGAGTATTTTGCAGATTGCTTTGGAGAAATTAAAACTGTGGAGAACAGAGTCCTCTGCCTCATGATTGAGTTACCATCGTTATGGCTGTGTTCGGGCTATATGAATCCATCAAAGGGGAGGAGAGATTCCTACATGTTGAAAATTAGCAGGTTAGGGAGGAAAGTGCACAAGAGCATCTTCCCCTAATACTTAACTGTAATCTAAGGGAATTTCTAGGATGAAGGATTACTCAAGTACATAGAGCCTCCACCTTCAGCCCTGGAAGGTACCGTTCAGGCATGGAGTTTCCGCTCTATTGAGAACTCGGCCACATTGTCCATGCAAACTTCTTATCATAGTAGGATCTTGCTAATGTCAGAAAAAGATCTATGCCCCTTTCAAGAACTAATTTTGTCAAAGAGCACACTGAAAAGGGAGAGGTTGTCAATCATGCCTCATTTTCCAAAATTACTGGCCAGAAATACTATACAGCTACAGACTTGGCACATAATCATTTCACATCATCTGGGAATTACACATGGTTCTTTCTGGGAGCACTGCTTGCTAACCCCATAACCTATTGTGTTGTTGATGATACTCCAAAATATTTGGTACATATTTCATTTTGAGCTTGCATTTAAAATACAGCAATCTAGGAGGTGAATGTGGAAGACTTTCTCCATGTGACTGAATTATTCTATAATTTAATTGTGCTTCTCTTTTCATTACTGGAAGGGGGCTGTAATTTATTCAGTAGTATCAGCAGGTTGAACTTCTTTCTAGATGGGGGGAGGGAATAGTAAGTAAATGTCTGTTTTCCACAACAGAAGAGTGGTCAAGGACAGTTGTTCCCAATCTTAGATCCCCATATGTTCTTGATTTGGGAACCACTGCTGTAGGGGAACAAGTAGTTTGTAGTTGTTTGTACCTGTATTGTTATATAGTTGTTGCAAAATGAGTGAAATGTTCAGAAATCTCTTAGTGTAGTTAACTTGGATTTTAAGCTGTATCATGATAAACAAATTAATATATATTATATTATATATATAAGAATTTATCATGATACAGTGATGATTTTGTCTTTAATAGAGTTTTGGGGAATCATAATCTTAAGTAGCTTAAAATGTAGATTTCTGTCCATTCTGTTTTTGGAAAATTCAGTGCTCTGGCCTTTTCAAGTACAAGTCATTCATGTCTTTGTACCGAGACTGAGAATTTCAGTCATCGCAGTCATTACCTAGCTAAAGTCAGAAAGTATGATCAAAACAATGACTCGTATAGGAACAGAAGGGAATTGGGTCATTGCCAAAGTAGGCAGCTCTCAGAGAGAAAAAGAAAGACTTTTCAAATATAAAAGTGAAATGTGTCTCAACCTGTGCTTCCATGTCTCTAGGAAGTCTGGGAAATGGTGAGAGAACCTGTAGTATTTCCTTTATGTTGTACTTGAACACTGGAACGAGTTTTTGGATCACACTGTCCACTAACAATATCGTCTATACTGTCTCTTAAATGGCTTCACTCTGTTTGTCACAGTTTAGCAAGTCTATTGCTGTCTCTTCTGTTTGCTGTACTAAAATGTTGACACCTCATTTTTGTTTTTTCATTTTAAACCTTTAAATAGTATAATGGCTTAATTTGTAAGATTTCTGTATTTGACATGGTTTTTCCTTTTATTTTACCCCCTGCTTTTTGCATTATCCTCTTTTTATTTTCCTCCCAATTTCCATTCCACCCTCAATCCTTTTTTTTATGATTATTATTTTCCATGTATTACTGTCTTTCCTTTCCCCCCGTTTCCCTCCTATTCCTGCTGCTGTAGCCACACAGGCTGGGGAAACTGGCCGAGCAGGTAGGGGATTTTTGTGTTCCCTAAAATACAAACTTTTCCACTCCTAACAGTGGGACAGACTAGATGGGAGTCTGGAGATCGTTTGCATTTGCAGGGGTGCATGTTGTCAAATGTATGTATATTTTAAAAAGTGTGTATTTAAAAACCACCTGGTTTTTCCTGCACTGTTCACATGTTTCAGTGCTGGCATTTGTGTAGGAAGAGAATGAGAAATTAGACTATCCTAATGATCTGGCTTCATCAAAAATGAGCCATCCTTTCATCAACACACTTTGAAGTTTAAAAAACACCAACAATGATCAGGTTTAACTCTTAATGATCAAACTGTTGCAGTCAATTTTTACAAATTGATTCTGGTCAGCTATGAAAACATTGCTTAAGGTAATATTTATAGATCAACTCTTCCCACCCTCTAATAACGAGGCTTGAAATAAGGTTCTCCACTCAGTGCTAGTCTGTTACACTGCTGAGTTTACTAGCACACTGAAAACTCTGCCTTCTACGCCAGCTAGATAGGACTTGTGTTCTTGTGTTGGCTTCAATAACAAGCTGAAGTGGCAAATGCGCATGTTACCTTTCCTGTAACTTTCTCTTACTGTGTTGGTGGTGCGATGCTGATCTATGTTTAAGAAGTGTTACTTGTTTAGATGTCTCTTGCCTTCTTCAGTATGGAATCTGTACAAAAGGACACACGGAGAAAATAAAGTCTAAGAAAACACTGCAGAAACTTAAAGGAATGTTAGTGTTCCTTCTTGGTAACGCCCGCTGTGTGCTGGTTAGCCATCCTCTTCTCCCTTTTTGTGTATCGGTATGACATCCTGTTGTATTGACACAGCCGGTATTCCCTCCTGTCCCAGTCTTGGAAGTGAGTGTACGTACATCTAACAAGGAGTCAATCACAGTTTTGTGACTAGTGTGCCTCTAAATATACCTCTTTTTTTTCCTCCCACAAATGTATCTTCTTTTGCTTGTGTTTAGGCAGACATTGTACACTAAAACATCCACAAACAATGCCACATGGTTGTTGTTTGTTAGTGTAGGAACCTCCAAAGCTGACATTATAGCATATCCTGAAACTAGTTAGAAAACAATGTGGTTAAATGCATCTGGTTAGAACACAAGCGAGCTATTCTGAGCTTCAGTGTACGGAATTCAGGATGAGCACAAGTTTCCTGTTTGGCAGCCAGGTGCATAGCAGACTCTTTGAGGAGAAACCCATGAGAAAGTGCCTTTGCAGGAGCTGAAGCAAGGAAAAAGAAAAGAATGTTGTGATCTTAAGTTGCTGGAGGAGGCGAAAAAGGTGGAAGCATTTACTAGATGAAGCACAGCGAACAAGCTGTTTATGTTAGAAGATTTCACCCCCAAAATGAGGGAACTAAATGCTTTTAAATTTTCAATGTGATAATCTTAAAAGGAACAGAATAACTACTTATGCTTCTACACTCTGTATCTGTTAATATCCCATATCTTGCTCTTTAACACCATCAGTGTTGAATACACCCTCTGCATGTGTGTCTCAACAGATCCATGCTTTCCACTTGACTGCTTGCTTCCGCCATTTCCAACTGTGTGTCTTCAGATCTTGCCTTTGTTTCTGTTTTGCCAATGTGAATATCTTTCACTTGTTTTACTTTTAATAACACACACACAACTGTGTTATTATATATTTGTAAAGAACATGCTAATGAGTATGCCGTGGAAGGTTTTAGATTGACTTTCTCCCTGATACTAATGTAATCATTGTTTTTACCATTACTGTGTGAGTTTTCATAGTGAACATTGATGGTAAGTAGAAGGTGGAATACTTGTTCTGAGCAAACTATAAACTGAAATACTTTCTTTTCCAGGGAACCTCTGGGCCAGATCCAACCACTGTATATGTTGACATGAGGGCCCTTAGACATGACAGGTATGGTTTTTGTTGTATTCATAACTAGATGGCAAACCTAAATGCCATAATTTAACAATGTACAATGAAAAGAAGAATTTCCATTTACTGGTCCTAAACCTCCTGCTATTCAGCTTCAGATAACCCCAGGAATGTATTCAAGTATTATCAAAAAAATAGAGGGAAAGTTTCTTACTATGCAACATCTCTATATTCATGCATGCATGCGATTTGTGTTGAGGCACTACTCTTGACAGTTACAATACATATAACAGAAAACAAAAATAAAGATTAAAACATTAAAAGCAAAAACAATAACCCTAACAAAAAATGGCATAATGATGTCCATTTCTACCCTGTGTCTCAGTTACCTTTTTTTCCTAAGTTCAAAACTCCAAACGGGTGTACCTCTCCTTATGTTGGGATTTCGCCAGACCCTTAGTAAATTGGATCTAGTAATTTTGGCTCTGCCGTTTCTGTTTGAAAGGGGCATAAAGGTGAGTGTAGAAAGGGGAGGAGCCAGCCCTACCAGTAGGCAAGGCGAGGGAGCCGCCTCAGGTAGGAGATGTGGGCAGGAGGTGCACAGGAAGGTGGCATCAAATTGTTAAAAGAATGTATTATCTATATTTATTAATTGAAATGTTTATAGATCCTTTTGTTACATACAGAAGAATGCGTAATGCACTCTGAGGCAACACAACAAATTTAAATAATGCAACAACAACACAAAGCGATGCCTCAAACATGCTGCCTTACCCTAATTGAAAGCCGTCAGTTGCTGAGCCAAACAGAAATGCCTCTTCACTAGAAGATGAGCAATATACCAGCTGCCAAGAACATAGGACCTCAGGAAGCTGTCATGTACTGCGTCTGACCATAGGCCCATCTAGCTCAGTACGGACAGCTCTGACTGGCAGCATTCTTTCCTTACCTTCACCCCTGGAGATCCTTGTTAATCTCCTATGTTGATGCAAGGCAGGGGCCAGACAAGATGGACTGTGTTTGGCTGGATATGGTGGTACCACGGTAGTAATCTCTTCTCCCTGGGGCAAGACATAGCCTCCTGCCTTCAGGTGTGGTCAGTGATGAACTAGCAATTAATTCGGGGGGGTCAAAGGTGTGCACGGAGTGGCAAGGAGCAAAATCCTCTTATCCTTTGCTTCGGAAAGCAAAATATTTTGTCCAGGGACCTGCAAAGAGCCTTACATTTGTTAAACCCCATTTTTCAAATACAGCCCATCTTGTCTGGCCCCTGTTCCATTGTAATAAGAGAGATCTAAAGGCATTTTGCAGGGTTAGTTAGTTAGTTAGTTTTTTAATGTGGAAGACCAAGTCAGTAGAGCTACTGGCAGCATTAAAGAGGTTCCTGCTGGAATTCTGTAATAAAGACTCCCCTTCAGGGCTCCTCTGTCTACTGATCTCTCCAAATCTCTTTTGGGCAGAGGGCACTCTTTACGACCTACTGTGTGGCATGTTCCACTTAGTACTGTGTTGCTTCTTCCTTTTTTTTCCTCCCCAGCACATCCATCCAGCTAACACTTTTATTGGAGTTTAAATTATGTGTCTGCATGTGCTGAATTCAGCAAAATGCATTAGGCCGTGTTGGAGAGTGTTAAATATGCAACAAGCTACTCAGGGCTCTGGCCTAGAATCCAATGAGTTGCTCACTAGGTTAGTCGGGCAGGAGAGCTATGTTGGTTTTTCCTCTCCCATTCTGCCCATGAAAACGGAAGAATGTTAGAAGCACATTCGCGCTAGCGAAAAGAAGCTGCCGCCTTGTAAAATTGACTTCTAGAGAAAAACACCCAAGGGTGTTGGATCTCATTCATTGGTTGTGGTATAATTAGAAATCTGTGTTTTACTGAAGGCAAACAAAAAGGGCATGCAAATTAGACCACTTCCTCTGAACAGTAATTTAATTAACGGCATCATCCAGATAGCAAAGCTTTTTCAAACAGAAGAAAGTTCTTGTTTTATTATAAAAACAATTATGTAGAGCATTTCAGCATATATTGGAATTAGTGGTGAGTGAATCCCTTCTCAACTCAGTTCCATGTGGAATTGTGCTCAGCAAACAGAACTGATTCTCCCAAATTTGGAAAATTGCTTTTTTTTCTACCCTAAGCCTAAGAGGCCATGGGCTTGAGCCTCCAAGAGCTGATCAGGGAGACCGAGGACAGGAGATTTTGGAGAGCAAACATCCATAGAGTTGCCATTGGTAGGCAACTCTGTGGACAACAACAAACTCTTAAGCTTAGTTCTGGAATTTGATCCTATTATACAAGAGAGACAGCAGAAGATGGTCCAAAAGAGCTGTGATGCCCTTACTGCTGCCGCTTTCTGGACTGCAAAAATCAGCACGAGGAGCCCTGGATCTTGTCATATCTCAGGCACCTGAGACTGCCTTGAGGAAACGACACCCTTCGTATCGTGCTGTTGTTCCCAGTCGATTACCCACTCCTGGCAGGGGGCAGGACCCGAGACTGCCTTAGTTGCCTTGAGGAAACAACATCCTTTGTATCGTTCTGTTGTCCCCAATCGATTACCCACTCCTGGCAGGGGGCAGGATGACAAGCCTCTCTGCTAGGTCAGAGAGTGACCAATCCATTGTGGAGAACAGAGTGATAGGAAGCCTCTGTGGAACTGGTGGCAGCAGCGAAATCATGAGTGGCCAGTCCCTCATTATTTCCACCTGTGCGGGGAAATTCGTATACAGATACAAATACCCCCATCTCTAGTTTCTATCAAAGCTAACGAATGTTGGGGGAAGCATCCTATGGTTCTGTATCACTGTTGAGCATCATTGACTGGCTGATGTTGTGTTACAAAACAGATAATATGATATCTTAAATTTTGCTAGAGATAATTTTAAACTATGGATAAACAATTGGCTGTCTTAGAATTTAGTTCAAAATGCTGGTAGTTCTCAACTCAGTCTCAAGAGATCCATTAAGTCCAAACATTCTTCCCCAAACCATATACCTCATCTACTTTGTGTTGCATGAACTGTTTATGAGCAGAGGGTTCCATATGAGAACAGAATCAAACGCTTGCTTTTCGTATACACCAAAGGGCACAGCTACAATCTGAATGGACAAGCACACATTTCTTAGCCACTGGCCTCTTATTTAATGTGAATGATGATGTTGGGCAGTGGAATTTGCAAACCAGTACCAAAAATGAGAGTCATTCATCCTTTCATCCATCCATTCATTCATTTTAAATGGTTTTGAGCTAGCCTTCAGAGCCAGTATCGTCCCAGATTGTCTTTCACACAAAATTAAAACATAAAATAATGCTTCACCGTTCTAAGGTACTGTGATTCTCAAATGGGCTTCATTAAGGTTACAGTCCTTCCACCAAACCCCCAAATCCAGGTTTCCTGCCCCATATGTGGATTCATTCCAACCCTGCCCTACATTTCTGTTGAAAAGAAATTGGAGAGGGAGCCCTCTCTATCTATGCTGATTTCTGGACAAAATAGTCAAAACTGTTTCAACACAAAGAGGAGATTTATTAGGCCAGAGGTTGTAGTACAGAATTCTGCCAAATTATACTCCATTCGCCGCTGTCCCTCTTTCCGTAAAAAACGGGGAGAGATTTAAGGACCAGAAAATGTGGTGGAGAAGCATTGGTTTGGGAGTTGGAAAAGGCTCTTATTGGGTCTTTCCCTCTTGGTAATTACCGGATCTCTTCCATGTGACCTTTACAGCAGGGACTGCATGAATCACATTTTAGACATGCCTGCTCTTTTCTCAAACTATATTATTTGGCATGCCCATGGCATTATAAAAAGCATGTGGGTGTAGACTCATAGAACAGCCTCAAAAAGTGGCTCAGGAACATGGCACATCAACCAGGGAAATGCATGTGTAAAAATAGCGCAGTATGAAAATAGGACAGTAACATTTGAGAAGCAGGAAAAGTAGGAATAGAATAAAATAGAATGACAGCAGGTACAGGATACTCAGTTATTGACTAGCTTTGATTATGTAATCTTGAATTAATTGGACCCAAATGATTTAGAAATTGCCTATGGCTTATGCCAAATCTCTAGTTTGCAGGCTAAAATCAGGGGTGGGATCTAGAAACACATTCTATATCTAGCTGCATTCTAAATAGCTGCTTCTCTGAAATTCTTTCCCTTCTTGAGTTCATCTAAGCTCAAAATCTAAAAAAAAATATTCTGAAAGCTTTGGTCTAAGATCTTTCTGGCTGGGAAACAATAACCAAGATTAGAATAACATGAGCTGTTTCAGTATGGGATACTCAGTGTGTTATAGTGGAGTAATGGATTGGGATTCAGGAGGTCTGAGTTTGAATCCCTGCTCAGCCATGAAAAGGGGGGCGGGGTATGAAACTGGTAAAACTTCATAGGCATCCTTCAGTCTTGAGAGACTATGGTAACATGCTCTGTATGGAGGACTTGGAACAGCATCTAGTGTTTTGATGCTGTACGCGAAGCTGGAGTGTCCTCTCCAGGGCACGAAGCCTGGGTAAAATAATATGGAGATAGGCTGTTACCCAACCAGCAAATCCCCCCTCTCCACATCACTGAAATAGTCCAATGGAAAGGCGAGAGCCAATACAACTGGTTTCAGCGACGTCACAGCGACTCCGGCTCCAGACTTTGCCTCGCAGTTAACTCCTGAAGCCTTTTCCATCAGTGGATATAGCCACAAGGCAGTGGAGGTTTGAAGTCAGAGTTTTCCGTCTCCTAGATGGGCTGCCTTCCAGGGCTGAACAAGTCCCACCTACCCGGTGATAAAACTACTCCTCAGATATCTCACAGTGAAAGTCCCGTTAGGATCACTACAAGTCATTTCTGACTCGATGGCACATAACATCACACAGACACACACATGCTCATGTGCACACACAGACACATATGAGAGATACAAAGTCCTCGGTACTCAAAGGTACCAAGTGATCAAAAGAATTTTGACATTTCATGCAGTGTTCATGTACATTGGCCATAACACTTGTACTTTTTCAGCACTACAGAAATTCTGCATATTTCCCCTCTCCCACCTTAATGCAGAATATACTGTGCTCTCTAAATGATCAATTTTTGTTGTAAACTCTGAGTGGGGAGTTGTTTAAGAGGCTCGGTCACAAAATAAAACACCTGATGAACGTTCACTTTTATGAACAAGAATTCACACACAGTTTCATCCTTGGTTCTTATATTCTGACAAACCCTTTGGAAAGATCAGCACTGGTATCAATCTCGCTACCACCTGATTTGGGGGGGGGGGAGGAAGCTTTTCTTGATTATTTCCAAAGATCAGGAGGAGATTTGTGGGAGGATCTCATTATGCCTTCCTTTCCCAGTCATCTGTTATTTGAATCTCTCAAATCAAATTTGGTCACAACAGGTGTGGTCTAATGAACAAAGCGTCGGACTTCTTAACCAAAGTGGTGAGTTCAAATCCCACCTCATCCACATGGTTCACTGATTGTGATCTTAGGGATCATTCTCGAACCAAGATGTGCCTATGAGCTGATTTGGATGCCTCATATATTTTCAATTTTCTTCCATCCTGGGAGATGATTTGTTATAGAAGCAGGACCTGTCCCAACAGTTAAGAGCCTGAGAAGCCCGCAGAGTGGCCCAGCAACTTCAAAGCAATGCATAGGAAGACAATTAGAGCAACTAATTAAAAGACATCAAAAAGGGTCATAATTTGGTTTGCCAACAGAGCACTCAATTATATGTTCAAGATTTCACAGGTTTACAATATAATGCTGTTTCTCCGGGAAATTGCTAGTATGGAAGAACTGATAGTTACAAATTACTCACATTCAAGAGGGTGAATAAGCAGTTGTACATAGATTAATAATCTCTCCGGGAAAATCAATTGCGTGAATGTCAAGAAGACAATCAGTCTTCTTCTTTTTTACCATAACTCAGGGCCATCTGATGCCTTTTTTTTTAAACTGAGGCAACATAAATAATAATTTTTCCTCCAAAAACCAACTGGAGGAGTTCTTATTTCCACATGGTAGTGGGATGGGATCCTTCATCTTGCTTGAGTACTGCAGGATAGCTGTTTTCTGTCCCAAGGTCGGCTGCTGCTACATCCTCCATGTCACAGAGTTTCTGCTACATCAGTCATTCTGCCTGAGGGTTAGGCTGGCCCCACTCAGACCTACCTGCTGTCGTATTCTCATGCCATTTTTTGTGAGATCTCAGAACCTGCTCATAAAGACTCCTCTTTCCACCTTTTTTGGCCATCTTATGAGCTTGGGACATTCTCATCCATGTTGAGTCAATATTTGAATCACAGAATTTGCAGCCTCAGTTTTAAAAGTTGTACCTGTTGCTTGCTGGCAAAGTGTGACCGTGAGGAGAGCAAGAAACATACCTGCAGACTAGCTGTGGGTGAGGGTCATGGGGGTTGAGGACTGCGTACCCAGAACTTGGAAATGTTGTTGTTGTTGTTTAAAAAACAACTCCCAGAATCCCACAGGCAGTATGGATGGCTGGAGATTCTGGGATTTATCATCCAAAAAAGTAAGATTCCCAAGCTCTGTGTTTACATGATACTTAAATGTGGTACTGCAATTTTTGTGTGCTCATCTCTGTTGTGCTTACTTGTTTTGGTTTTCAGAGTGCGTTTAGTAGAACGAGGATCCCCTCATAGTTTGCCCCTCATGGAATCAGGAAAGGTAAATCTTTTTCAAAACTCAACACTTAAAAGACAGATCACACAAATACGTCAGCTTGGTTATTGTTTGTTTGTTTGTTACATTTCTATACCACTTATCTAGTGCCAAGCCACTAATCTGGGCAGTTTACAATGACATAAACAAATCCCTCTCACCCCACAACCCACCAAAAGTACCAGGCAATTCCCACAAAACCACGATGGCTATGTGTGGGGAGGGAGGTGGGGAGGATTTGGTAATTACTACACAAAGGAAAAACAGTGGTCTAGGGAAAGGAAAGTGCAGCTACTTGTACAGCTGAGGGACCTTCCATGTTTGCACTTTCAGATTCAGTGTCCTCGGGGGCACAGTACAGACATGGTTCCTCACATTCCCATCCCATATGAGATGAGGCCAGTTCCATGGTAATTCCTACGGTGATCACAACAAAGAACACTGCTGGAATCAGGATGGGGGAAGCAAATTCGGGTGATGTAATGTTTTGCAGACATGAAACTGACTTCATTTATAAGTTGTGTAGAGCATCAAAAAAGTATGTTGACTGAGTCACCCATATCATTTGCTGGAAGTGCATGGTAGCTAGATTCTGTGTATATGAGATTGGTCAAGTTATAAGCACAATCCATCAGTGTAAAATGCCGTTGTGGGTTTTAGCTGTTCTCTTAAAACACAACTTTAGAGGCCATTTGATATTTTTCAGTTTGCTTATATGCAGCTGGGGATTCATCAGCGGTTCAGCATGAGTAGCAACCTTACACTAAGCCTGATGTTGATCCATGTAGCTCAGTATTATCTAACTGGCTGCTCCAGAGTTTTACACAGGGGTCTTTCCCAGACTATACTTGGAGGTGCCAAGGATAGAACCTGGGTTCTTTAAGATGGAATCAACTGTTCTATCATGGAGCTACAGCCCTTCTCTTGGTTGTTGCTGTTTTGGACATAAGCAAAGCAAGCAAGGGAAGTGGGTGACTAGGGCTGCTCAATGGGAATACAAGTTGGAATCATGCTTAGGGGGGAATAGGTGTTTCCACATCACTATCGTCCAAGAAACAAGGCCAACTTCTTTCTCTTTTTTTAAAGCTTCCTCTAGGAGTCTCCAGAAAGTGTTCCAAGGGACAAGAAGGAAAGTTATATGGTTGCATAAAACCCTGTGTGCATCATCTGGCTCCTGACCAAATGTGACTCATTTTGTCTTTCAATAGATCCTCCCCGGAGTTCGTATCATTATTGCTAATCCGGAAACAAAGGGGCCCTTGGGAGATTCTCATCTTGGCGAGGTGAGTCACGAGCTGTGCCTCAGTTGATGCTTCAATTGCATGACTTGGTTAAAAGCTACCTCTCTTCCCTAATAGCTTTCCTTAATAAGCATGTGACAAACAGCCCACTCTAGAAGTTATGCATGGCACAGCTTTATGCAGATGTGTGAAATTAATAGCAGGCAAGTTAACGAACAGCTTTGCTCTGTCACAGTTGAAAACTATGAACGGGGAAGTGGTGTTGTAAGTCTGCTGGTTTCGCCATTCAGATTTTTCCCCCCTACCCAATTAATTCTTACTTCAAGTACAGTGTCTCAAGAATGTAGTAAATTGGGTCAAAAAGAGCAGAACCAGACATTTAATTTGTACCATTCCAATAACACCAGGGTGAGTTTTGTGTGGCCTTCCATATATTACTGGACTGTTGTTTCCATTATGCTAGCCAGTGGTGAGAAAAGCTGGGAGTTACAGTCCAGTGGCTTTGGAACGCCCACAGTTGCCCCAACCCTGCATTGGTAGGAAGCTTCTTCAACTCATGGGAGGGCCTTCTAGAAGAGGAGGGTGTGAAGACAGTGACCCAAAATCCAAAAGAATTCCTCTTTTTGGACAAGCTCATGGCCTAATGTAGTCCAGAGTGTGTCATCTTCCATTTGCCCTTGGACAAGAGTTCATGGAACACTAATAAACAATCTAGGCACCAACACCTTGTGTGATGGGGCAAAACCTAGAGTCTGTTGGTCCCAGTGAGCCCACTCAGGCTTACCCAGGGCATTCTGGGGCAATAATGATGGCAAGCAGCTGCAGCTGACATTCAGCCTCCTGGTGTTCCTACTCTATTAAAAATTCATTTTTAAAAATGTCCAGCTTTGCCTGATAAGGTCATTGCGTTAAGGGGGAAATATCTTATCCTTTCCATCTTCACTAGCTTTACTTCTCTGTTCCATGGTTCAAATGTGAGCTGTTATATGGGCCACAGAATTATTCCTTCCTGTCGTCTTAGAGTCAACCACATCCAAGGGGTACCTTGCACACTGGGGTCACACCATCGTTAGTGCCAGTGGAAAGGGTGTATCTGTCTTATCTGAGTGCCATGTCCTATTGATGATGTAACCAATAACCAGTGTGATCATCAGTTCCAAACATGGGATGGAGATAGTGTATCAAATTAGAATAATTCATACACATGCTGCTATGGGTTTCCCCAAAAATAAGATAAGACAGGGTATTCTATTAATTTTTGCTCCAAAAATGCATTAGAGCTTATTTTCAGGGGATGTTTTAATTTTTTTTTCATGCACAACAATCTACATTTATTCAAATACAGTCATGTCATCTTCTGGTTGCTGCACAGTAGTGGAGGATGGGTTTTTGCTTAACTGGGGTTTATTTTTGGGGTAAGGCTTATATTACAAGCATCCTGGAAAATCATACTAGGGCTTATTTTCAGGTTAGGTCTTATTCTCAGGGAATCAAGGTAGTTGGCTTGGGCAGAACTGCTCTTATGGTTGCCTTTCATTGTGAAGACTAGCACAGATGCAAGATAACACTATGTTGTACTTCTCTTAGCAAGGAAATCTGACTGCTGAGTTAAAAGTCATTGAAGGCCCTTCAGTAGAAGCCAAATATTCAGTGTTGCAATGTCTCAAGCCTTGTCAAGAGTCTTTCATCTAAGGAAAGTACTTTTCCCTCCCAACTTAGATATGGGTTCATAGTGCTCATAATGCGAGTGGCTACTTTACTATCTATGGTGATGAATCCTTGCAATCGGACCATTTCAACTCGAGACTTAGTTTTGGGGACACTCAAACCATCTGGGCAAGGACCGGCTACTTAGGATTCTTACGAAGAACGGAACTGACAGATGCAAATGGGGGTAAGTCTATGGGTTCAGTTCATATCCTGTCCAGAACTTGCAAACATTGCCTTTTTGGAACGACTGCCTCGGAGAGCACAGCCTTGAGCACAATATCTAAATTATCTGTAGAGTACGCAGTATTTCTTTAATAGAAAGGCTGGTGTAGCGCAATGGACCATCTAATTGTGGATCCAGGGGCTGGCAGTTTGAATCTGCACCGTGCCTTCTGGGAAGTGGATCCATAAGGATCACCTGGAATATGTGTGGGCTGACTGGGATCCCTGCTACACAGCCCCAGAAGGAGAGGCTGATCAACCATTTCTCAGGACTTTATATCTTTTTTCAAAAAAACCCTGGGCAGGTTGCTATCCATGAAGGCATATCATAATTGATAATAATTAATACATTTCTTCAGTAGCTCCATAGCCCCTCCATGGCTATTACAGATTGATAGAACTAATGTTTCCTATTTATTTGGATAGTGTTCTAGTAGCTGTACCCTTACCCCATTCCTGCTTGCCTTTCTGAAAAGATGTTTAAAACTGTTCTAGTCTCATGAGGATTTCAAGGATATTGCTTTCTGGAATCGGCTTTTATTGATAGCTGTTGCTTTTAAACTTTAATGGACTTCATTTGAGATGATTGCAATTGTTCTGTTTCCAGTTGTTTATCCTTTTATGGCTTTTGAATGGTGTTGATTATATTTTATATGGAAAGGGATAACCAAAAATCTCAGGCAGGTGGTAAGTAAATGCAATGATATTTTAAATAAGTGCATTTAGTGTAATTTCTCATCATTGATTAAGTTTTGTTTTGATCAGTCTTTTTAGTTTATTCTGTTTAGAAACCATGTTTAATAACGTGAGATGGAAACATATTAAAGAAATGGGCTACGAAGACAAAGGAAAATCTTCTTTGCCGGTGCAAACTCTGCTTGTGCTCACCAAATGTACATGATTTAGCCCTTCACAGAATGAATCGTTTCTTTGTCTTTTTCTCTCTCCTGAAACCAGAGCGACACGATGCACTTTATGTGGTAGGTGCACTAGATGAAGCCATGGAACTGCGAGGAATGAGGTATCACCCCATAGATATTGAGACATCTGTAATTAGAGCACATAAAAGCATTACAGAATGGTAAGTATTATGTGCTGCACTTCCCTTTGTCTCAGTGCACATGTATGCACGCAGAAATATCATGCTCTTAGGCGGTAATCCTGTGGCCCCAGGGATGGGTGGGCAGGACAAATCAGAATAATCTTTGTCTTAGACCCTCCAAGATCTAAGACATAGCTCCAACCTCAGTGGTGGGAACTAATCTCAGACTCCTGCATTTCCACCAATCTTTCCATTTCTCTGTCCTTTACAATGCAGGAGAGGACAAAAATGAATGGAACAGGAATGGCTCTATATAATGTCCAAAGACAGAGGCATAGAGGAAATGAGTAGCAGGGCCAGAGGGAATTAAAACGCAAACAAATACAGGCTGTGACAATTACATTGAAAGTCTATAAACCAGAGAATTGAAAAGTTACTTCTTTGGACTATAATTCCGTGCTGGCTGAGATATTTTAAAATTTGAACTGCAAACAAGTTAATTTTAATATGTCTGATGGAAAATATGTTTAGTGACCATCTACAGGTCAGTACAAACATCCTGGATTGCACAATGAAAACCATGCAGTAATAACTGGACACCAACACAGATTTGTAAAGAATAAATCCTGCCAAACTAATCCTTTCTTATTTTTTGATGAGATAACCTACCTGGTAGATGCCGTTTTAAATAAATGCTATAAATGTAATCTATCTTGACTTCAGCAAAGCTTTCAATAAAGTGAAAGCTGATTAGGTGTGGGTTGGATAGAACAACTGTCAGGTTGATGCACAGTTGGTTACAGAATCATACTCAGAGAGGCCTTTTCAAAAAGGGAGGAGGTGATAAGTGGGATACCACAAGGCTCAGCCCTAGGTCAGCTGCTCTTCATTTTTTTTATTAATTGCTTGAATGGGGGGGGTTCAGCTTATCAAAATTATGGGTGACATAAAATTGGGTGGAATAGCTAAAACCCTGGAAGACAGAAACAAAATATCTGGATAGGCTCAAGCACTGCTCTGAAAACAACAGAAAGAAATTTAACAGGGATAAGTGCAACGTTCTACCCCTAGGAGGGGTAATACTTTACTCACTAATGCTATGAATGAGAAGAATCTTAGAATATTTCTAGATCACAAGCTGAATACGAGCCAACAGTGAGATGTGACTGCAAAAAGGGCAAATGCTATTTTAGGTTGCATTAACAGGAGTATAGTCTTCAAATCTCACAAGGTACTATTCCCTCTCGATTTGGCACTGGTTAGGCCTCATCTTGAGTACTGTGTTCATTTCTGGCCACCGCACTTTAAGAAGGATGCCAGCAAACAGGAGCAAGTTCAGATGAGGGCAGCAAGGATGACCAGAGTACTGGAAACCAAGCTCTGTGAGGAAAGACTGAAAGAACTGGGCATATTTAGCTTTGAGAAAAGAAGACTGAGGGGAGATATGATAGCACTTTTCATATACTTGAAAGATTATCATATAGAGGAGGGGAAGGATCTGTTCCCAAAGTGCAGAACACATAATAATGGGCTCAAGTAACAGGAAGCCAGATTTTGGTTGAATTTCAGGAGAAACTTCCTAACTGTTAGACCAGTGGGACCAGTTGTCTTGGGTGGTGGTGAAAACTCCAGCACTGGAGGCACTCAAGAGAAAATTTGAGAACCATCTCACATATATCTTTTGCATTTTGCACTGAGCAGAGGGTTGGACTTAATGACCTTACAGGCCCCTTTCATCTCCAATAATCTATGATTCTATGGTATTGTTTATGTTATCATTGTCATTTTGAATGGTTGGAGAACTTATTTTTGCATATATTAAGGCCTGAGCTTCCAGGGTCTCAAGAAATAAGAATATATTTGTTTCCAGTTGTACTGCCTGTCAAACTGTGAGCCTTGTGTTTTAGATCTTTTTGTATTTTGAGTAGAACTATTGAAAACTAGAACCTAAGTTAGTCATTTCAAATTTCAGTGGGTCTGCTTTAAATATAGTAGTGCTTTGCAAGACGAACGCCTCGCAGGATGAAAAACCCACAAGACGAATGGTTTTTGCGATCGCTGTGATGCCTCACAAGACGGCTTCTTCTATGGCCATGCTTCGCAAGATGAATGTTTTTCACAAGACTGATGCCTCACAAGACACATGAATTATTTTTGTCTTCCGAGGTACTCTTACGAATGCATTGCAGTGCATTTCTATGGGAAACCTGTTTTCGCAAGACGAAAATTTCGCAAGATAGCACTACTCGCGGAATGAATTACTTTCATCTTGCGAGGCACCACTGTAATTGAAAAAGTAATTGCAAGCTCTGTGCTATAGATTAAAGAAATGCTGTTATGTTTCAGACTAAAACTAGTGAATCATATGCCCATGACACGAATTTTCTTCCTTGCATTTCAGTGCGGTCTTTACCTGGACAAATTTGTTGGTTGTTGTTGTGGAGCTGGATGGATCAGAACAAGAAGCCTTAGACCTGGTTCCTTTGGTCACCAATGTGGTCCTGGAGGAGCATTATCTGATTGTAGGCGTGGTGGTGGTGGTGGACGTTGGTGTAATCCCTATCAACTCCCGTGGAGAGAAACAACGTATGCATCTACGAGATGGATTTTTGGCAGACCAACTAGACCCCATCTATGTGGCCTACAACATGTAGTCTTGTGTCTTTAAGGCTTCCATGAACTTCACTCTAGATGTATAAAACATTTTTTGACATACACTAAAAATGTGCTGATAAGAAAGGGACGCTCTTCAGAACGAAACTATTTCTATTAGGACTCACTGAGGCGCTCATTATTAGCAGGACAAATAATGTGAAATTGTGTTTCTTTTACCACTACATTTTAGCACAGAAGGACTTTGGGGTACTACCTTCAGTTTGTTGGAAAGCCCATTATTAGACTTTTTAAAAAAAGATTATTTTTTGCTTATTGGGATGATACTGCTTTCTAAGTAATATGGCTTTGTATTTTATGTTAAACTGAAGTAGCTAATTTTTTTTTTAAATCTGCCCTCCAAGTGGATATTTTTGAACACATCATAATATGACTGAATTGTTTTGGTTTACTTGTTTTTAAATGTCCATAAACAATCTTTTCCAAAATGGCTCCATTACTAATTTTAAGCCATTTTGTATTCCATTGTCTTAGAAGACGACATTGAGGTACGAGGAAAATACTCAAAACAGCACCTTCTCAAATTAGAGTTTTTAACAGCTTTCTCTCCTGGAAATGCTGAAAGTACAAAGGTGAAACGAACCTTTGATTATTAGTGTTAGAATGAACAGAAATTTATAAATAAGGTGTATTTCGGCAATGAACTTGCAGATATCTTTGTACTAAACTAAAAAGATAAAATAAGTTAACTACTTCTGTAATTATGTACAAAACCTTTAATTTATTTTGATCTCTTTAGAAGTATAAAAGAGAAACATTCAAGAATATTAAGCTCTTGTAATGTTTGCTAATATAAAAACAAAAGGGGTTGTATTATCTTGAGTGGATAGTATCACATCGAATATATATATATGAAATATAAATTCACTAATGACAGAAAAGATTTTAAAGTTTTAAAAGGATGCAGTACTCATCACTTGCATGGTGTCTCTTTTCCCACTGTAGATAATCAAACATTATTCACAAACTTTTAAGGGGGAAAAAAAGCAGTCCTGGATTTCCTAAGCATCCCTGTCTAAAAAGATTTTTTTTTCTGGATACCAGCAAGTGAGATCACTGTGCTTGCCTGCAAGGCAGTGAGTGAATTTTTAAGGTCGCCATCCTGCCAGCCAGCATGCACAGAGTATAAGGCTGTCGAGTGGTTCCTGCAGAGCCTTAGGGCCATTCCTCCCGTTTTTCCACCAGCTCTCTCTCTCTCTCTCTGTGTCCAGATGCTCTTCCAGGCCTGTTCCACCGCTGAGTTTTATCGACAGCCCTCCCATATTGACGTCTCCCACAGCCTGTTGCCTTTCTGTTTCGAGAGCCTCCTCTCTGTGGCTCTGCTCCTTGGGTTTCTCTGTTCAAGGAGCTGGGACAACAATTGAAGGAATGCTGGCGAGGAGGCCACGCGAAGCCTTCTCCTGCTGCTTTCCGACAGCTTGAAAGAGCAGGGGTGGAAGCCAATATGGATGCTACTGGGAGACGGGCGCCAGGAGCAGGGGCCTGTGGGAGCCCTTCCACACCCTGCTCTCTGTGCACCCGACAATGTAGGAGTTGCTTTTGCGGCCAAAGACTTTTTAACAGTGCACTACGAAGGATTCTTTTCTTTACCGTGGAGGTGACAGTAAATATTTGTGCCGGCATGTATGTTCATACACTTCTTAGACTTTAGAAGAGTCGTTTTTTGAAGAATAGCACTGTTTTTCATAGCTGCATAATATTGTTGCACAGAATTTTGTCATAATTTTTTTCTAAGTTGATGTTTTGTTGTTGTTTTTTTAAAAAAACCATTTTTGGTGGTCCTTTTGAACGAGAATTTTCATTTTTTTTTTTAATCGATTTGCCTTCTCCACTGGCTTGTCTTTACTTTGGTCAGAGGGGAGGGCACAAAGCCATCCACTTTGACACTTAGTAGAAAGTTGTTTTTTAATAGGCTCTCTTATAGCGCATTGTTATTGGGGGAGTCATCGAAAAGCCGCTCTAAACTTATCTGGCACAGCCGGGTGCAACTGCTAACATGTCCTGATGCCAAACATAGGAGCTGAAATTGGTGCTGCAAGTTAATGCCACCCTTCAGTTCCAAAGGGAATCTGCTCACAGAAGAACAACAGAAAAATGCGTGGATCACAGATGCCTTTTGTTTCTTTTTGAAATCTTGTTCTCGTTAGGTAAAGTGAATCTTCTGATTCTAGTTCTTTCATTATATTTCTTTTCTTTTTTTTAATGCTGATGTTGGTTTTATCCCTGTGTAACCTGGTTGACTAGTGTCTGATCTGAGAAGGGTAAAGCTTAAGCAGGAGCAGTCCAAGAATGCTTTTTTTAAAAAAAGAAGAAGAAAAGATTCAAAATAATTAATTTGCTGGCGTTCATTACAAGAATATGCATGACTAAGACAGTTGCAGGACAAAAGCTACAAGATCTTTATATAACATGTATAAGGGAAATATTTTGCCTACCTTTGCAGACTTAATTTGATTCTGAAGACCCTTTTTTTAAAAAAGAAAGCAGGATTCCTTAAAAGTGAGGGATGGGTTTTAGTCTGCATGTAGAAGACAGAGCATCTTGCCATGGCAAATCTCTTTGCTGTTTAATTTTCTGGTGCCCCTTTTCTAGATATTCCTTTGCCCTGTGAATATTTTTTACTCATGTTCCAAAAACCAGTCCTGAAGTGTTTTGTCAAAGGAAGGATGTTTGGGGTTTGTTTTTTTTTTGGTAAGATTTTTGTTTGTTTGTTTTTATTTGGTCCCCGAAAATAAAACCACTTTTTCTCCTTAAAATGTCAAGTTGCTGTAAGGTTCAGACAAGCCGTTTATTGATTATGAGCATAATTACAGTGTATGAACTAACTTGTGATGTCCTTGCTGTTGCTGATCTCAGTGCTGCAAAACACAAATTTAGCTGTCATTTTGTTAAAGCATCACTTTTAACCTTCACCAAGTCAACTTTCCATTCCTGGAGAGGTGGCAGAGGACTGCAGTGCAGTCGTACAGCGTAGTTAATAACCCGAACTCTTCTGCAACCTGTCATCTTGGGTTGTTTAAAAAAAAAAATCTGAAACTTGGGATGGTAAATGACGATGAACTGAATTCTTAGTTTTGTCTTGCAAGTTGAGAGGAAAGAAACACACATGTACCATCAGATTCAGCAATAAAGAAGGATTGTTCTGTATTAGAAACTGTACTGTAGATAAACCATTCATGAGAATGTATAAAAAATGTTTGTCTTGTGACCTTGTGCTTTTGAAGTCAGACAAAACCATGTAATCAAGCTGATGCACATGCACACTTAGAAAGAAAGAAAAGAAAGACAGAAAGAGGGTACACAATGAACATTTAAACACAAAACTATTCAAACAGGAGCAGATTCCTCATGGTGCTTGTTTATTATATATATTTAATCCTGCTTGACACTTTACCCAAGGGAAAACTGTCCCTTTTATCAGTTGAATGTTAGCAGCGTTATTTCATAGAGTGTGGTGACTGGTTAGAGAAATTCATGTAACTCAGCCAATCACAGTTTCAAATGAAAATTTTTATGTGCAAACAAACAGCAACCTTCTTGTATGTTAAACCACCAGTACGCTTTGTACATCTGTGATAACGCCTGTTTTATATTCAAATGAACAAATAAAAGCTTTTATTTTTGTTGCTCTGAAAATAACAAGGTTTTTTTTTTAATTGGCTAGGGTACTTTTCCTCCTACAGAGAAATTTGCCACAGCTCCACAATTCTGTAAATGGAAAGTCTTTTTATAGACTCGAGGTTCCCTTTGCATCCTCTGTCAGGTTCTGTAGCCAACCCGTGGTTTGCAAACTCATTTTGTGTTAGTCGTTTACGTTTTCAGAAGACGCTTGAAATAGTTTACATGTCACTTTTTCAATAACAGTGTCCCTTCTTTCTTTGTGTTGGATCTGCTTGGAAGATTTTTCAAAGCAGGTTTCAACTAATATAAGTCAGAATGTTAAACAGAACAATAAACTTCAGCATAAAATGGTCAGAAGGTACTTCAAGACACAGCGTAGAGCATAAAAACAGCAGCAGGTAAAATCGAGGCATTAAAACTCATGAACCTTTCTAAAAGAGGGCAATAAAACAGCAGTAGAATGATAATTTGAAAAGTGTGTGTGCAAAAAAATGTCTTTTACCGTGCTGCCTAAAGGGCCGGGTCTTTAGGAAGTCTCCTTTCGTGAAAGTCAGCCTGTCCACAAAACAACTGCTTTTCACTCAACACATAGGATACGGAACTCTCTCAGATTTGGCTTTGTGGCCTTTCTACCAGATCCTCTTGCACTTTCATCCTGGTTTCTTACTAGGTTTTGAGACTTTGCCAGGGGTGCGGTTGGGGTTTGTGTAGAAATGCAGATGTATTTTCCTAATATGCACATGTATTTGCACACATTAAGACTATAATATGGGTGCGCACATTTTTTCAAAAGTGCCATGCTAGCCATTTGTATTTTGAAATCTATGTGTTCTCTTATGCACACTTTGTTTCTCAGAACTGCTTAGTAAGCCTCAGACTTGCACATTTTTCTTGTGAAATGTGTTTCTTTCTGCAGCCAGACTTGGAAAGTGCAAAATGGGAATTTTCATCGGGATTGTACAGATCCATCCCATTCTTAGTCACCACCTGCGTAGTCTGCAGGTAAAATACAGGATGAACAGCCACTCCAGGTGTTTTAAGAGATCCATGGTCCTTGTATCGAAGCCAATTTGGGCCTTCTAGATTGGCATAATTATGCCAACAGAATTAGAGCTAATCTATTTTATTTCAATATTTTAGAACTAATAGTTGTTTTTTTATCAATATTTGATGACTAGCATATAGTTTCATTTAATGTGTAAAGGTGGGAAGACAGGAAGATTTAAAAGCCATCTGTGCATCTACTATAGAAACACACCATACAGGATTGTAGAGTATATTTTAGCTTTCTCCCACAATTCACATCATTGGCCCTTTCCATTCCCTATTGTGAACATTCAGGGGGGAAAAATTACTGTATGTGGCTAACTATGGTGAAGAAACGTCAGTAGCAGATGATGCAATTTGCAGAGCACTTTGCTGTCATTAAAAAAAAATACACTTTGCTGTCATTAAAAAAAATCCTGTTTCCAAAGATTCAACATGAAAATAATGACTTATATCATAATATTGATAGCATTTTCAATTGTATGTGGGGGGGTGGGTTTAAATCTGACACCTGAGGATGCAAACTGATTTTTTAAAAAGTATATTGGATAGAGAATCTGCATGTTTTGGTAAGAAATATATTGGCAATTGCCAACACAGAGACTTGGGAGCTGTCAAGAGCTAGAGTATTTTAATTTTGAGGTAAGGGATTTTTGCATTATAATAAACTTTTTAAAAAATATTACAAAAAATTATAAAAATATTTATAATTTGTGTTCTCATGGGGGGTTACATACAGAGAGAAGCAGTAACAGATGTAGAAAATTCCAAAAACAGAAAAACAGTTGAATGGAATTAGCTCCCCAGCTGTTTTAATACAGCATTGAAAGTCATTGCTTCTTGGTTAAAAAGTGGGAGGGGTGTCTTGGCAGGGAGATGCAACACATGCCATGTTCTTCAGCTACTCTGGGCTGTACCAGTTCAATATTTAACTCAGAATTTGGGAAAGTTATTATTATTATTATTTAGCTGCAGCCTTAAAATCCCAGAATCCCATGACTAGCGGCCATGCTGTTTTTTTTGGGGGGGGTGGGATTCTGTAATCCAAAATAATTTTTCCAACCTCCCCATTACAGAGGATCAGAGGCAATGAATCAATACATCTGTAATTTAACGTGAAGCCATTTAGCAGCATTGAAGAAGCCTTGTGGCACAGTAGCTAAACTGCAGTATTGCAGCGAAGGCTGCTCGCTACCTAAATTCAGTCCTGGGATCATGTAGCTGGCTCGTGGTTGACTCAGTCTTCCAGCCTTCTGAGGTTGGGAAACCAAGTACTCACTGGGGGTGGGGAGGCAATGTGTAGCCTGCATAATTAAATTGTAAACCACTCAGAGAGTGCTTTGAGCGCTATGGGCCAAAATATACGCAACTCGCAAAGAATGAATTAGTACACGTGAATTCTAGCATTTGGTAAGTGGAACATCAAATTGTGACTTCTTGTCTGCTGAAAAGTCATACAGTGTTGGAGGCAGTTTATGACACATCTACTGTGAACGGTATACACTAGAAGCAGCCCTCTTCTTTACAAGATACTTAGATTTAATGGAGATAAAATACAGAACTGTGCTGGTCAATTTTGCAGTCCAGCGTCTGTTGGAAAAGGTGCACTGCTTGTTACTGTTCCTGATGTTTCCATCACAACTAAGACATGGGGCAGAGGAGGGACCAGAAGGTTCCTGGAAGGCATTTGCAAGTATTTTGCCAAACCCTCAACATGTGTTATAGAGGACAGATGTAGATTATTCACCCCATTGCAAAGCCAGTCCTACTGTTAGGCAGAATGAGGCCATAACATTAGGCAAAATGATTTCTGTTTGTTTTTGGGTTCTTAAACACATCTCTGAAACTGTGACACACAAAAGAGTCTGAAACATTGGGTAATTGCATGCAGAGACACAGTATTTGTTAAGTTTAGGTGGTATTTGGCATTCATTCAGTCTGGCTAGGTTGGGGCTTACTGTGTTTTTAATATGGATGAGAGAGATTGTCAAGCCAGTCCTACTGTTAGGCAGAATGAGGCCATAACATTAGGCAAAATGATTTCTGTTTGTTTTTGGGTTCTTAAAAACATCTCTGAAACTGACACACAAAAGAGTCTGAAACATTGGATAATTGCATGCAGAGATATTAAGTTTAGGTGATATTTGGCATTCATTCAGTCTTTTTAGCCAGGTTGGGGCTTACTATGTTTTTAATATGGATGAGAGAGATTGTCAGAACATGATCACAACTGGTGTTGAGGTGAAGTTGATCTTAATATCTATCACACCATCTCAATTTTGGACCGAACTGTGCCTGCTACTATTTCTCAGTCTGCTCCACCTCATGATATTGTTGTGAGGATAATTCCAGAATGCACCATCTTGGGCTCATTTGACGAAAGGCATGACACTAACATTTCTAAAAATGCTTTTCTGTCAGGAGTGTTTCTCTTGGCGGTGGCTAGATATGTGTCTTGTGGGACGCTGTGGGTTAAACCGCAGAAGCCTCTGTGCTGCAAGGTCAGAAGACCTGCAGTTGTAAGATCAAATCCATGCAACAGACTGAGCCCCCGTCGCTTGTCCCAGCTCTTGCCAACCTAGCGGTTCGAAAGCATGTAAATGCGACTAGATAACTAGGTACCACCACGGTGGGAAGGTCACAGCGTTCTGTGTCTAAGTTGCGCTGGCCATGTGACCACGGAAGATTGTCTTTGGACAAACGCTGGCTCTATGGCTTGGAAATGGAAATGAGTGCTGCCCCCTAGAGTCGGACATGACTGGACAAATTGTCAAGGGGAACCTTTACCTTTACCTAGATATGTGTCTTAAGTGGTAAAGTTGCTCACCAACCTAGAAACTTACATGTAGCTCTGGTACGGAAACATTGCACCCATACACAGCAAGCAGCAGGCAAATACTATAGCTCTTATGTGCTCCAACTGGTTTTTATCAAACAGCCCCCACAAAGGGGCCAAAAATGTTTGAAAAAGCCCTGCGCAGAAATAACTGGATAGGGCAGGTGATGGTCAGTTTAGCAAATACTATAATGCCCTCCAGTGGTCCTAAGTGCCAACTGCACCATTAGTTCATAGCTTGAGGACTCAGTGACTAGCTGCATTTTTGTGAAGGAAGAGTAATGCAATGAACTTGCTTTGTTGTTTAAATCTCGAGGCAGCTAACCAATAGAAAAATGCAAGGAATAAATGCAGACAGAAATTTCCATTCATGTCTAGATCACAGAAGGCTTGCATTCTTAAGTGTGGTGCTGGGAAGTTTAGCATCTAGCTGTTGGAAGCTTCTTCCATTAAAAGTCACGGTAAAGGTGTTCAGAAATATTTCATCAGACGAGATGTGATTAAGCAAGCATGTCAGCTCTGGGGGGAAAAAGTTAAAAGGAAAAAAAATTTCAAAATTCCATAGGTAAAGTAAATATGAATTTTAATTAAAAAAAACATGATGACCAGTATCCTATTCCGTGTTTACGCATGTCTGGAACTCTACTGGTGAAAGTAGCCACAGTAATCTGCCAAGGTGCCAGTCTCTCATAACTAGGTAAGTGGCTTCCACAGTTGGAGCACATAAATAATGAACAAGATACTAATCTATAAGATTCTGGTGGATC